CGAGTCAAAACACCATCCTGCGACCTCCGCCCTCTTGTTGTCAGCAAAGGCAGGATCGGTAGTATCATTGTGTGCGCCATCTTGAACATCGCCATGTCCAAGACCTTCATCATTGGTTTCGTCTTCGGTTTCCCAAGCCATTTCGCCATCATCCAATGGATCATCAGTAACTACTTCGTCACCCGTTTCCTCGTGTATAATATGATCATCTTCAGAAGATGTATACTCGGCATCATTGCCATGATAAGGCTCAGGAACAACAATCTCCATATCGTCGTCATCACCAGAATCTTCCTCGTCCATGTCGGCATCGCTAGCATCTTCGTCAGTAAATTCTTCATAACCATCTTCGTCATTGTCGGAGTCAGGGTTATCTGGATGAGTTTCACCACTAAACATACTAAGTGATGAATTGCGATAAAGATTCGAGATTTCGTGAGTGTTTGTATCTTCTTCAGACTCTTCTTGATCATTACTGTGGCTAATCATGGCGTCATGATCTTCAATTGTACTATCACCAGAGCTCATATCAATATCAGAGGCCTGTGTACCGCGTGTAGCACCAGTATGATCTCGATTGCCAATACCACGTCCACGCTTGGATTTTCCAATGCCATTGGTCAACTCACCTCCGCGGCCTATTTTGATGGCCATTTTGGTCAGATACTCCAAAGGTTTCAATACTGCTTTGGTAACTTGAGAAGCGTTTGGATGTTGCAAATCAATTTCAGCCAAAATGTTGGTTAGATGGCCAACAAATCCTTTCTCCATCATAATGCGCGCCATTTGAACCGACATCGTTTCATCTGTTTCAGTAGTACGACGCCCAGGTTGAAGATGAGACCCTACTCCATTGGTATTGGCGGGTCGTCCAGCCAATAAACGCGAACACAACTCTCCAAAGGCAAGAAATCGTCCATAGTGCTTATCACTAGATGTATCCGCTCGAGGTGCAGCAAGCGCATCACGAATATTTTTGGAAATCGCTTCAAGAACAACTTTGCGAACAATAGTCAGTTCCGGATAAGGTTTCTTTTCACTTAGTGCTTCTTCTGATGACCCAAGACAAAGGGAGCAAATAAGGTACACTCCCCAAATACTTTCAGCTATCTCCATTCTTTGCGCAATAGTGAGAGAGTCGGGAGATGCATTAGAAGTGGGTGGAGTCGGTTCGGATCGGATGGCTCTTGGAATCAAATCAGTTAGGATATGCGACAGGAATGAATTTTTGCATGCATTAAGTGACCTCGGCGGAGTTTTTGTATTGCGACGCTGAGAAACGTGAAGCACATCCACTTTGCAGACTGGATATGAAATAACCAACTCGGATAAGCACTGCAACAAAATCAGTCGACGAATGTGTTTGATAAATCTTGGATCGTCATCTGAAGCAGTTTCAAGAGACGGCAGGGGTGTGGCCAAGGAAGGTGTAGTCTGATGACGCAAAGTCATCAGCTCTTGTACAATAAATTGAACCACACTTCCAGCTGGTTCAGATAAATGATCCTCGCCAAACCAGTCTGGTGCCAAACCGGCATTGATGGAAGGTGTAGCAACATGTACCATTGACATGGCAGAAATATGATCGTGAGAAGATGCCATATCCACATCTTCATTTTGAGCTGCAGTGGGTCTACTGGGGGAAGTCGCTCCACCATTAGATCCAGATGCAACTGCTTCGGAAGCAGAAGTGGCAGTTGTATCAGCATCCTTGGTATCTTTCAAAGATATCATTGCACTGGCACTCTTTAAATCCACCTTGGTAAGCTTGCATACGGCTCCAGTGGTCCGAACAAACACGTTAGTATCTCTCAAACACAAGTGTGCGTTATTTTTGATAAACCCATTAATGTCAATCGGGCGAGCTCGAGGTACTTGAAACCACTGTTTGATTTCGTGTGTCATGACATCATCCATCACTGTACAAGTTTCTGCCAGATGTCGCAAAATAATTATTATAAGCGACTGCTGGGAAGAAAACACTGCAGCATAGCGAGGATGCAGCAGCGTTTCCACACCACCAACTTCCATAAATTTGGCAGCGGCAGATGAGCAATGGGTAAGAATGACCAAAAGGCGATTCATAGCATGAAGGGTGCTAGGATCAAGCTTGTCTGTTTTCTGAAGACAGACAACTGACTCGACTAAAGATTCGAGTGTTTCTGTAGGTAAAACAGGCAGTCTTCTTGAAGCATCAGGTTCCTTTGCTGCGGCACCCGTTCCCAGCTCAAACTTTTCAGTAAATGGCTCCTCGTTAACAGCCAAGTATGACTCGAGCAAAAGCAACATAGATGACAACTCCATACCCGGAACAGGTTTGCGTTCAGTCAACAGTTTTGTGATTTGAAGAATAAACGAACTGGCTTTACGGAGTACAACCAGCTGATGCTCACGATCTGTTGCAAGTAGCACCAGTAAGCGCAAGCGTATACCAAGCGCAGACACTTTACCCAGTGCAACAGGCTCAAATGCAGCAGATTGATGTGCTTCTACCTGCTCGATAATTAATGAAACAATATCTGAAATATCATCTTTGCCTATCAAGCTTAGTAAATCTTTGACATTGAATACGAGCTTGTCATCGACAGAATCCAAAAGAGAAAACAGCCCTTTTAGCACAACATCTTTGAGCTCTATACGTGCCTTGTTAAGCTCATCACGTTTGGCATATACAACTACAACAGGGACTGGTATTTTGCTAGGAGATGTAGAAGCAGTAGCAACGGAATGCACCGCTGATGTCGAAGCAGCAACAACAGGGCTATCAATTGTCGCAGAGTCGAGTTCAGAAGATTCACGAGGTTGAGCAGATTCTGTCACAGAACCAGAAACTTCCATAACATCTACAGGAGAAGTAGACAGTGCTAGAGCTTCTGCCAACAAAGCAGCATCATCCTGATCCATGCCTTCATCGGCAGCTCCGTCAACAGACATGGCAGTGGTGGATTCATCAGTAGGAGCTACAATCGCGTCAGTAGACAGAGGTGGAATTGCAGGAACTGTATCTAAAACAGGTGCCGTAGAGAGGACAGCAGGCGTTTCGGTAGTTGCAGCAGCATCTACAGTGGTTGTAGTAGCCGAAGTAGCAGGTGCTGATGTTTGGTTACGAGTTGTACTAGATCCAAATGTAGCAGATGCAACAACGTGGGGGTTCATGATTAAAAACTCTGCTGCTCGCTCAATATTGTTGCCACAGCGAACCAAAGCAGACTCGGCTGCAGGTCGTGGAAATCCCATATCGCACAATTGCTGAACCTTTTCAGGATCAGCCAAAACAGGTTGTGTTGCAATAGGACGACCAAAAAGAGATGCAAGAGCGCTTAAACCACGAGAGGCTCCAGAAGATGAGCCCGTAGCAGATTCAGATCGTGGTGGGGTCTCTTCACCCTCAGCTTGAAGAATTTGCGATACAATAGTAATCACAATTGAAACAACACCAAACTGGCAGTGCTTGAGATAATCTTTACGCCAGATTTGAATGATTGCATCAAGTATTTTATAACGCATATTTACAAGGTAGCTTTGAGGATCAAAGTAGTCAGCAGCATTCTTATCCTTTTGACGAGACACGAGCAATGCAGTGTAGGGAGAATCATGCAGCATCTTGGCATGCGTAACGCGTTGGAAAATCGTTAGAATACGTTCCAGTACAAGCTGATGAGCATGCTTAATTTCTGCGTGATCGTTGGCTGGTATTTTGGAAGCGGCAGCTTCATCAACAAATGCAAGGCCTGCATCAACCATGGATTCAAACAGGTTGACAAGATGTTTCAATCCATCTGGTTCAAACGACACCCACTCCATGGTTTGAAGTATCATTGTGCTTCGATCTGAAATATTTCAAAAATAACATTGAGATGATCAATTAAGTGAGTAGTGGCCGAATTTACAAATGTATCACTGAAAACATTAAAAGTACTTACGATCTGTGATCCACTGATCAAGTATAATTAAACTCTGTGAAATATGTTCAAGTAAAACCACATTGGACAGACGATAAGCCAAGACAGTGCGTGGCCAAGTAATATGTTTTATAGCCATGGATGCAACATTTCCAACAATGCCCTGAACCACCGTTTTGTTACTGACCTCAGTTCCCCGACGACCACAAACTAGTTTAAGAACAGCTTTGAAAATAAAAGTGAGGAGATTGGGGATTTCAGTCACAACAAGTAGAATCATGCGTGTGTTTTTTGCACCAGGACTTTCAAAGTCTTCAGCAGGTGCAGTGGAAACCGTCGAATAAGCAACGGGTGCAGTAGTGATGACATCCATTGCTGTATCAGTGGCAGTATTTGCACCAACTCCTGTAGCATAGTTTGAGTCTTCTGCAACAGCAGTTTCTGCAACGTCGTGTGCTGAAGAAGGCTCATTGCCAGCAGATGCAGTAGTCACAGACGAAGAAAGATCGCCAGTATACCCAATATTGTACACCCCGTGTCGGGGTTTAGGCAACCAGCTTGTAGGCACACGCCGAGTAATTGTCAATCGTTCCCAGATACACATACGCTGAATCTGACCCAAACGAGCAATAAACTCCACACCTTCCTCTCCACCAAACATGTATCCAATGGCAGCAATGGACTTGGTATGAGAAATTGAGTGAGTGCAGAATAAATCAGAAAACAATCGAATAAGTCCAAGAAGAGTCAGTAGCGCTCTAAAAACCGATTGAGTCTCTTCTATTTTCTCTAGAGTCAAACCATGCTGTACTTCACGACCCATTAAAATGCAAGAGTATAGCTGGCTGTCCTCTACATCATTTCCCAGCAAAAAAGACACTTTGTTGTAGGCAATATTAAACTCGGTAAATAGCAAAGGTATGACACTCTGAGGTAAAGATTCGATGGTCACCTTGAACAGATATGAAAGGGAAAATGACGACTGAGAAGTAGAGAAATCATATGGAATAGAAGAAAGGGAAAACAAACGAACCAACGGGACCAATCCACCCAGACGAACAAAATCTTTACTATGAGCGACATTTTGAAACACTCCCTCAAGAAATCGGGTTCCAACATCAATAAACTGCACCACTCGACTCTCCGATACAGCTTGCTTTTTCTTGGTATCGACAGAATGCGTGTCAGATTGCTGATGAGAGTGTGTCAGAGTATCAGAATGAGTTTGTCGCACATGCAAACGACACGAATCCAATTCTTCAAGAGTAAGAGTGATGTGATCTCCAGTATCAATAATGCGTTGCAACATCTTGATGATTCCTGTAATAACAGTTTCTTTAAGCAAAGGATGATGGCGAATAAACTCATCCATTGAATTTCCAACCAGATGAGGAACCTCATTATCTTGAAGTGTGCGTAAATGATCTTCACTGGTAAAGACAGAGAGAAAATTGTCAAGTGGATTTTCTTTTTTAAACTCTTCCAAACCAGCTTCGTTTAAACAGACCGCACCAAAAGCATTGGGAAGAGCCGAAATCACCTCGGCAGAGGCAGGAAGGTCATTTTTAGAAGCCATGAGAAATGCGTGCGTGATTTTCAACTCTTGCAGAATGGCCAGAGAAGTGGGTTCGTTGTGAATAAAAGTGGACATGATGTTGATGGCAAGACCAAAAACGCTTAAAAACCCAAACAATTTTGAATGTTCGAAAATCAGGCGAAGCGATCGTGGAAGAGAACTGTCAATCAGATGGCGCATACCGTCGGCAGTACCAGAAGTTTGCATTGTGTGAAAAATCAACTTTAAAGTAGCACGAAGAATGGGAACTCGGGCAGCCAACTCTCTTAGCTCGGGAGAAGATACAGGATCGAGTGGAGTTTTTGAAGTAATTTTCAAATCCAAATTTTGTGTAGCTTTTAAACATGCATTAACATCGCTGCTAATTCGAGCGACATACAAATCAACTCCATTGACGGCAGTGAAGGCAGCGAGAGAAGAAGGACTGGAATATAGGATATTGTCGAGCAAGTTGACACATCGAGAAACATGTTTAATCTGGGAAAGAAACTGAACATTTGTAGCAGATACCAGTAATGGAATGATGCCAGCCGATACCAGCATTGCACCACCTGTAGAAGCGGTAACGATGGTCAAGAGAAGAGCAAATACGGCATCGACATGATCTGACATGGGTTCAATAGCATCGCACTCCATGGCTTTAATAATCAGACGTAGTGCATGCATCATGGGTCCATGGTTTGCAGAGATGTTCAAAGCACCGACCACATCATTGAGTTTGTTGCGATATGCTGCAATTGCAGACATGGCGCATATGGCAGCAGTTTGAAGAGATTCTTGAACGGGTTTAGTTCCGGATATCAAATCAACCAATCTTTGAATCAGATCTGGCTCGTAAAGAAACAATTTAGATTGGGCCTGCTCTTCTGGGATGATACTCAGCAAGACAGCAATAGCTAGAATACGAATATCCAAGAGGGGTTCAAGACTAGAGACACTAGAACAGCTCATAGCCAAGCGAATACGATGAAACAATGGGAAGACGTGTTCATCGGGAACATTGTGCAAGGTTCTAAGAGTAGCCAACAGTTGCGTGTCTGTCTGATCAGCCCAAGTGGAAGAAGGGACGGTAATTAAAACCAAACCATTTGCGTTTGTTGTGCCAGTCGAAGCGAGTGTAGGATTAGATTTAGCATGGTGTTTGTCGGGAGTGGATGGGGACAATCCAGATTCGAATGGAGAAGGAGTTTTAAGAGCCTTTGAAATTTTGACATCTGAAGCGGAGATGAATGAAGCGGTTTCATCTGGTAATACGGTGTTGAATTTTGCACTCAAGGGAGTAGAAACAGAAGTTGAAGAGTCGGTAGATTCAAGCGAGTGGTTTAAGCGATAAAACTCGTAACGAACAGTTGACAGTTCTTCGAGAATGACATGAGAATCTGGAGGATTTGACACGTTTGTTGAAGGATTTGGGAGAGTAGAGAGAGCAGTCGAATCCGTAGCAACGAAGCCAGAAATGGAGAAATCTTTAGATCCAGGCCATTTCTGGGCCAACACATGCAATTTATCTAGAGCCTTGTTAAAGTTTGCTCTAAGAGTGCGTTGGGACTGAGTACGCTGGGCAGATTTCAGCAAGAAACGAAGGGTTTCTTGCAGTACATCGAGATCAGTGGTTCCTAGTAGAGAAGATAAATGGTCACAAGAGTTGTACAAGGATCTATTGGTGGAAGATTCCCACAAGAGCCTCATAAACTCCAACAAAGACAGTAGCAATGATTTTTGAAAAGGAGTGAATGGAATAAGCTGGATGGGAGTAGGATCCGTAGTAGAATCTGTAGTAGATGAAGCATAAGCCAAACCACAAGCCAGCACGATGGATTCCATCAATGCATCGAATCGGTTCAAGACAGGAATCCATAAATGCAAGTCAGTTTTTGGCCATGGTGGCCAGTCCAAGACCAAGGGATGAATGTAAGCAGCCAAATCATTATCAGAGACTTTAGATTCGAAGGACAAATGATCAATGACAGAGATCAATGAAGAAGGCTGTAAAGATGGGATGACACAAGGTTAGTATTGATTTCTATTTAACAGCAGCAACAACAACTCACCGGGGGAAGAGCCAGCTGCGAGGGTTTCTTTGGAGTTTTTGTGATGCGCATTATAAAGGGACGTTCAAGCAGTAGACAGCGCAGTCAAGCCAGCTAGAATAGAATAGAAACAGTCGAGAGTCGCAGCAGTTGACAAGATTCAAGTAACAAATGGCTGACTGTTGAAATGGATTTCAAACTCTTGAACAAACTGTCGGAACAAGAAAACAAATTTCATTTTTATAATCAATTCTTATTAATTCTTGATCAATTCTTATTATAATTCTTGATCAACTCCTTCATCTTTATTTTTTTAATTCTTCAATCATCACTTGTTTCACTCCTTCTTTACCTTTGTCTACATATAGACATCGTACTTTTAATCCTTCAAGTTGAATCAACTCATTAGGTGAAATATCCTCAAATTTGACTGGTTTGGTTTCTCCTTTTGTTTGGTCTCTATTGATCGCATTCAAAACTGCTTCAGGAAACTTTCCTGGACTGGCCGTGGCTAAACAGATTGTATGAACCTTGTTGGATTCAGTAGTGTCTTGGTGCGTGGAAAGAAATCGTTCGGCTGATACTACTCCAACAGCTGTATGTGGATCCAAAATATACCCTGTAGTCTTGTAATACCTTGCAATCGCATCCGAGATCTGTTCATCATCAACTCGACTCGATCCAAATACTTGACGCGCTTGTTCCAACTTGTCGTGTCCAACTTGAAACCCACCCTGGACTCGCAAGTCTTCCATGTGTTGTGCAAGAATCTGACTGGTCTTTTGTACCCTATCCTCATCCTTGCATAGTGATTGCATGTCCTCTTTGCTCAGTGAATCGGATCCTTCCAAGTACCACAACAATCGTTCAAAATTCGAACTAACAAGAATATCCATGGCTGGTGAAAGTGTCTGAGCAACAGCATTTATACCACTGGTCTTGGGCTTGGTATACGCTCCAGTTTCCATAAACCGATAAAGAATATCATTCTCATTCGTTGCAATAATCAACTTGTCCACGCACAGACCCATGGATCGAGCATAAAACCCTGCAAGCACATCCCCAAAATTACCTGTAGGAACACTGTACTGCACACGCACTGGCTCACTGTTGTTCTTGGAACCTAAAGCTTTGACTCGTCGCTGAATATCAAAGTAAGAGTAGAAATAGTAACTGATTTGAGCTAGAATTCTAGCCCAATTGATCGAGTTGATCGCTGCCAGACTATACTTTGTTCGTAAAGACTCGTCTGAAAACAATTGCTTGACAATATCCTGACAATCGTCAAAAGATCCCTTCAAAGCAATGTTGTGCACATTGGAATCCAAAACGGTCGTCATTTGCAAGTATTGGACTCGAGAAATGCGTTCATGAGGATGTAGAATAAACACTTGAATGTCTGGCTTGCCTCTTAGACCATAGATGGCTGCTCCACCAGTATCCCCACTCGTCGCTCCAACCACCGTCACTCCATATCGCTTCTGTCCATCCATCAATGCTGCATTCTTTCGTTGAAGAAAGAAATCAAACAAGTTGCCCAAGAACTGCAATGCAACATCCTTGAATGCAAACGTTGGTCCTCGAAACAACTCCAACACCCACAGTCCAGAGTCAGCTACCAACGGATACAGTGGTGTCACCACTGCTGGGTCTTGAAAAGTTGAAAACGATGCATGACATATATCAGACAACTCTCGAGTACTGATCTCCGACTCGGCAATGAACTTTCGAAAGAGTTGAGTTGCTAGTTCAGAAAAGGTCAGACTTGACCACTCTTGCAAGTCTTGTTGAGTAACTTGAGGAATGGTTTCTGGAATGTAAAGACCTCCATCAGGTGCAAGTCCTTGAAGCACTGCTGCTTCAAATGACAGTCCTTGCGACTTGCCTCGGGTTGAACGATACTTCATGCTTTGTTTTACAAAGCAAAGACTGAAACACTAAAACAAGGGCGAGTTCAATGTAAACTTGTTGAAAAGCTTAAATTTACATTTGGAGTCTTTCACTCCATCAAATGGTTATTTATTAATTGCTGTTTTCGTCGTCGTTTTGCTTCTTTTCGGGTTAAAGTGGGCTCAAATCCTTCTCTCATCGCACTATCTGAACTTGAAACCACAATCTCATCTGTTCCGTCTTCCAGTATGCACAAGTCATCTATACTCTCCATATCAACATTGCTACTCATTAGACTTTTTCGTCGCGCACTTGCATCAAACACCTTTTGAACATTTCCCCATGCCGTACCAACAATCGAGGATCCTCCTGATCCAGCTGAATACTCGACTCTTTCATACACCGGTATAGAGTGTGCGCTCTTGATGACATTAAACCCATCATCTTCGATAAAAAATGCATCAAGCAGAGACTGCTGACCCACTGGCATCTCCATTCCATCCCCCATTGCTGACAAAATCCCTTGCTCAAGCTCTGAATCTCCGTCTAGTCGTGGAAACCCTTTACGATCCCCATGAGGTGTCGGTGTGTAGGGTGCAACCACTATATTCATTGCAAGGGGAACATCTGAAAAACTTGGACAAGGTTTGATCGAGGATCGAGCATCTGTATCGGCTGTAAATGTCTGATCCGTTGATATATCAGTCATGAGGGTCACCAATGTTTTTGTCGCTAAATCTGGGTGGTAAACTTGCATCGTGCATTGAAGATCCATCCAGAGTGGAATCCGCTGGTCAGAACATGACGATATCTCAATCCGCGATGGCCATAACTGTTTTTGTTGTGATGGACGTCGTCGATTGGAATCCACGCTATACGCTGATTCGGTATCTTCTAAAATCTACTCCGCGTAGTTACACATTAGTTGGCTATGGCAAATCATCGAGCTTCAATCAGGCTCTTCCCCACTGACAACACTGCATTAAAACTACTTACTTGATCCGACATCCATACTTGCTCATGACTATTTTTCCTTTGTAGTTCAGTACTAGAGACTGGCATAGTCAATACTTTATACTCTGTCTTGATTACTGTAGCACCCAACCCATCATGCAAAGAAACGCTCTTCATAAATGTCGCTCTCGGAAAGCTGTTCAACACCGTTAATACTGCAGGTGGGAGAGTGGCTGTTCGTTGAGATAGTCCTTCTTCTGGAATCAAATCTACCCAAAATAGTGTAACTTTTCCCGTAAGATCCCATACAACAATACGTTGTCGTTCCGTGCTAGGCAATCCAGGCGAATACGTGAGATCTGATGATAAAAATGCCGACATATGAGTGCATCCAGATAGATTAAATGGAGGAAGGAAATTTGGCTTGTTATGACCCATATTTTGGTCCTCGTCACACTCAATGTGATCCTCTAAGCTTGTCGTATTGGTATAGTCAGTCCCTGTGGATCCTGGCATACCACTGGATGAATCTGAAGTAAACATATGCTTGACAACATCTATAGATGTGCGAGCATTGAGTCGAACTATTGGCGTCAACATCTTTACCCCAAATGTCCTTTGCACGCCACCATCAGAAGTCTGTCGATCATGTCGATCTCGGTTAGCAGTGTCGTTGGTATCGCTGCCAAACTCGGTATGAAACACATGTGCAGTGCCACGAGCAGTCATGACAGATATCCACTTTCCATTGGCACTCTGCGCAATACTATCGATTTTAGCAGCAGTGTAACCTCGATCGCAACGAAACAAGCATCTTGGAATAGGCTGGCATCCTCCATGTGTCCCAACAATATGAAGAGAATTGACACGTCGCAAATAAATATCGGAAATATCCCAAACGTAAATACTTGTGCCTTCTATACTGGCTGTATAAAGTCGGGTTTCGGATGGATCCATTTTAAGAATAGCTACTGGATTGGTATGTGGATGAAACAGTGAAAGAATAGAGGATGATTCTGGTTGTGTTTGATCCAGCTGTGGAGACGATTTTAATGAATGTTCTTTTCCTTTTGAAAATGGCCGTGGAAGGGATCTCAGTACAATCTACAAAACAAGCAGTAGTCGTAATAGTCGATATTTAGCCACCCATCAAGCATGACAATTCATCATCTAAACACAGATCAATGGCTAGACTTACAATCCCATCCTGTGGATCTTTCTTGCGATCTTTACGAAATTCATAAGAATTGGAAACGGGGTTTCCAAATCCATTGGATTTACCAAAACTCTCAGCCATAGCACGAGACGGTACACCACCAAAACTTGGAGATGTGGCATCTCCTGTAAAGTAACTACTGATTGCATGATATCCATACTCGCCAATAACTTTAACTCCAGATGCAACCCCTTTGGCAACTTTTGTTGCAACTTCACCCGCATTGACACCTCCTGATCCACTATTTCCTGCAGAGTTGGTATTGCCACCACTGTTTGCAGGATGTGTAGCACATTTAAGAGAAGGACTTATCGACGCATTGGCATGTAAAGGGCTTGTTCCTAAAATGCCGCTACATAAATCAAGAGTTTCTAAATCACTTCCTGACTGGATATGCGGAGAAGCCAGATAATTCTTGGAAAATGCCGGATTGAACTTGGTAGTGGTCGTATATGCAATCAATCTAGAGCCTATTTCAAACACGGGCGCATCGTGTAGTGGAGAAGCGTGTACGTCGGTATATGTAGCCATCAAGCTAAAATCTAGCAAAGAGTAAAGTCTAATACCCAATTGTTTTCCAAGATTCTGATGATAGTGTTAAACCAATGCATATTTGTTGAATCAGCACATGAAAATTGACTTACAAACGCAAGATACTTGGCATTTGCGTCTACACGCATTTGAGCAATAGGGCATGATGCCAACTCAATGGTATGTATCAACGTGTTTGTTGAAAGTGAAACGATAGTAGCAGTATATGCTGAATGATCGCCTTTGTCTACCTTTGTGCTTCAAAGTTTCAAACATATAAATTGAATATGTTGGATTGTGATGCAGTATTTAAAGCATGATTAAGCAAACCGACTTACACGAAAACTACAAGAGGTCGTTCTGATTTGAATGGATCTGCAACATGAGATAACCAAGGAGTAGGAATAACCTGTCCATAATTTCAGCAAAACTGTTAGCCATTCACTGTGTATAGTCCTGTATAACATACAATGTGTACCTCGATATCTACTACAGCTTCACATCCATCGCGAATAGAAACAATTTCCACAGCAGTATCTGTATCAGTAACATCCCAAATTTGAAACCCATGTGGATATCCAAGCAACAGAAACAGTCTAGTTGTACACCCAAGGACAATGAATCAATCATGTGAGGGTTCTGACAAGATCAATCTTCACACGAGCCAAACCCATAAAGTACTACCTAGAAGATTGAAGCCCAGACCAATCGATCCACTGAAATTTAGAAAAAATAACCTCTTCTTTTGTCGATTCATCAGATGTACGAATAGTAGTATCAGACGAGACTGCTGGTTGTTTGGGTGCAGCAGCAGTAGCACGAGCTAGAGTTGGACCAATATTTTTAGATAAAAACGATGAAATGCCAGTCAAGTATCCAGAAATAGTAGCCAGGGTTGACGGTGGTCTAAACGTACACAATAGTATTAGATAAGCTGGTAATACCACTCGATGTGAACAGCAGTTTAAACAATGGGTTTCTAACCCACTAGATGATGTCATGCACATTTAAACTGAATTACAAATGAAATAGACTAGCTGTAATCCAAGTTGATAACCATCCAGTATCTAGAAAAGCAGTCCTGACTGACATGGTTGACATAAACTTACGCAATTGACGTGCTATAAACCAGTTTTCCATGTTGCTTGCATCCAGCACCCAATGTTCGAGCCAATTCAGAGCCAGTTGTTGAACTACTCGGACAAGATTGGACTATATCCATGTTGACTGAATCTTCAAGTAGAGCAATGGTTACAAAACTGGGATGAACACCAGCTTATTTCAAACAGAATAAAACGATACAGTTGATGAATATGTGAATATATAGTGTAGTTAATATTAACCAACTGTTAATAGAAATGTAAAATTGGGGAAACCCAATGTGACGATAATTAAAAACGATATTTCATACAAACACTTGTGAATGACGAACAGATTGGCAGCAAGAAGATTGTTCAGGTTTTTATTGACAATATCTAGATTGCAATGAATGAGTCTGATGATTGTATAATATATGAATATTCAAACAGTTTAAAACTATAGTCTAGTAGTGTATGATTCATGACGATCGCTGTTCAAGGAAACTGTCAATGCTGCAATATTAACCTTCTAAACGGCATGCATCATTTCCAAACTGCCATCTCATTCAACAAAACAACTCTAATTGGACATGGTTTACCAACTATTCAACAAGCAGCACGAGGATTAGAACTCTAATACTATCGATTCTTGAACCCTACTAAAAATAACTCGAGTATAATAAAAAATAAATTCGTTTGAACTCCAGACACAAATAATTGGAAATGTTATTGAAAAGGCAATCCATTTCTAGTAGGAAACAACGAATATTCAGTCCTTGTCTATTCCAAAACAAAACAGTCAATTCAAGATAGATACAAAAATATTCCATTTGACGTGAATATGACTCTAATATAACCATTTTTGCTATCCTTCCAGCGACTTTCGCTGCTTGAAAAACGGAATATGAACACCTTGTTTGGTAAAGTGTTTGGATATGTCTGTTGGTTCTAATGTTGTTAGTAAAGTTAGTTTCATGGTGTACTGCAGGCGTTAAATCCAGTTTCATCAATATAAAACAGTTGCTTACTGTAATGTCCGCCCCATGTGGCCGAGGTATGGCTAACAAATGGGTCCGATAAGACCTCTGCTAAAACCGTACCACTTTTACATGCTTGTTTTGGATCAACCCGACTGGTACTGTCATCCATGAACCACTAAGCATGAGCAAGAAATGTATACCAACATCATCCAAACTCTGGATCATATCCGCGATCATCACTTACCAGCTAGATATATCTGATATAACTACTTTGATACGGAATGTTCCTGGAATACGAACTCCCAGATCGGGGAAAAAAAAGAATACTCCAAGTACATCATCCAATCCCATCACCATACTTGCTTCGGCAACATGTCGGCCATACAATGATCGCATTGGTTTTTGTGCATAGTTGAACGAGAGAAATGATAATGTAACGTCCTTCCACGTCTTGGCACTATGTTCCTCTGAAGTATCGTAAGTTGAACTGCGAGAGCGGGCCATTGATTCTTTGGAATCTAATGAATTGCAGCAGGAGTGATTTAAGATGTGGTTAGATGATGGATTTGCATTCATGTAAAATGAAACACTAGAGGTTTTAATGTTAATACATTGCCAGTCTCATGAAATGACAATTCCAAAAATATACTGGACAATATCTGATGATTGTACCATCATGATTGTGCCAAAAAAAAAGAATACAGGCATTTCAATTAAAATAGTCAATTTGTAGTAGGAAAGCACAACAAATAGTCAACCATTGTCTATTCCAAACCAAGGGATAATCATTACAAGTGTTGCATTTTACGTGAATACGAATTTAAATAAACTGGACGAAAGATGTATAAACCAGTTGTTGGATTAGGCATCGGCTGCTTAGAAATATCACTTTACAGCTTGTTAAAATAGTCAAAAATAGTCCGTTATCCAACTCTACATTTGACAAAGTTCATATAGTATTGGCCAAACAATGACAATTTAGACATCAAAAAATTATACCTGCATAGCTTTTATCTACCCATTTGTTTAAATTGGACATTGGACTTGTACTTGAAGTACCCGAATATTGAGATGATAGTGATGAATTATAAGGCGCAGGAGACCATGCTGATGATGCTTCAGTCCGACTATCTGGATTAGCAAAAGTCAAGTCAAGCAAATCAACGTGACCATCAAAGCAAGTTGATTTAGAATTTGCTTGAGTCGAGCTTGAATCCAAATGACCAGTAAACGAAGTTGGGGTGCAAATAGCAGGAAGAGGAATTCTAGATGCCACGGATTTTTTAGATTGTTGAGTGGGTACAGATTGCCGTCGTTTTTTTGTTATTAAACTCTGTGTGCTACGAACAAAACTACTTAGATCCGTTGTTCCATCAACGGATGTTAGATATGCATGAGCAATCAGTGAACCTGAGCTAAGAAATATATGGTGCCTAATTAAATTGAACAACGGCATATTGCGTATATGAAGCAAGTATACATAGTTAGCAACCAATATAAAAACATGTTTTGGTGATACCAGCAAAGACCAGAGCGATGCCAAATTACAGCGGAAATTTGTTACCAAATGAACCAAAAACATGAGCCAAACAGCCCAAGCAATCATCAATCAGTATAAACGATGACGGATAAACACAACAATGCATTGTAATCGATAAAATGTAAGACCACCTTTTGTCTATGGCCTGTGGTGCTGAAACCAATCTTAGTTGGACCGCCAAACAAGGTTCGATGGGAACAATAGGCTGAGGTCCAATATACGATATACCGCAGGCCAGAGTAGTTACTGGTTGCTGAACAATGTATGCCTGGTAGTTTAGTTGGGTACTATCAAGTACAGTGTTGGTATGATTTGTATCTTGGCCCATATTAGCAGAACCTGCGTTCACTTGCAGTGTATGCGTCGAGGATTTTTGTAATGAATTGTCAGTTTCTAGGCTTGTCACCTCCTGATTAGTGGTTTGAATCATGCCTAGTGGCAGTGTTGAAAGAGACTGCGATGTCATTTGGGCAGTATGTGTATCGACGGAGAGCTGAATTTGCGGTTTGGTACAGGTTTGTTCAGTAGAGTGACGTGGTAATGCGCAATCGTTGTCTGTGGATGCACATATAGAATTCACTTGCATAATGAGCCAATACAGTCAATAGCTAGAAGCAATCACCAAAAAAGAATAGCGCAGCGAGATGTCGTATTATTTATACAATCCAATTCAGGCTGAACCTAATCAAAGGAAACAAGTCAATAGATGAGCCAGCCTTCCAATCAAATATAGTAGCCATATAACCCAAGCTCCGACTATTAGGTATGAGACCCGTGATAATACAACAAAACATGGGTTTGTAGATAGGATGCGGTCCATTAGGGCTCACCAAAATGATATACCCATAGCTTGCGCGTTGTAAAAGGGTTCCCAGCCGATTTAGCAATGCTCGTGTGACTGTAAACAACTTGCTCTTGATGGCTGAAATATCGTAATAATGTTTTTTACCGTCCCATACTAACCAAAATGCTTACTCAATTTCTTATTAACGGTATATATTAGGGCTAGATACTCCATATCCACTCCCTTGGTTGGCTGTCAATAAAATGACAAGCATTGCTTCATCAGAGCTATCCAGCTGCAATCACAGCCGTATTCATGGGAAATTGATTACTAAATAAGGGTGTATCAAACAACCAAAGTCTTGAATAGCACCAGAACAACCAACCCCAATATCTGGATTGCAATGAGCAAAACTGGTTCACATTTAGCGATCGTATAGGATGGCGACCAAAAAAGGAGAAGGGGATAATCTTAGTTCAAAATCATCGTTTGTAATCATCATATGACGAACATTGTGTTGATTGAATTGAGAGTATTAAAAAAGCAATGAGTCAATATTTAATAAAAGTGACGAACATTTAGCCATTGTCTACTCCAAAGCAAAATACAAGTTGCATTTTACATGAATACGGCTTAACTTTTTTGCACTAAACAAGCCTTGCTTTGGTGTGATCCAGCTTACGCTTTTTAGTGCTTGGTTTATTTGCTTTTGTTCTGGTAATACTTTTGTGCAATATACCGAGCTTCAAAAATTGCCGCTGGATTATTTGGCAATTCAACAGCATATTACCTGTTATTCTTTCACGCCCATGTGAGCCCAACATGGCTATTTTTCCCATTACAGCCTCAAAGACAAATTAGACCATCATGACTAAGGCCGCACTCATGCTTGACAACATAGCACTCACTATAGCTACTAGACACTTTTAATTTACTTGAATAGAAAACTATTGTTTTTAAAACACGACTCACTGACTTGGTCTATACAAGTATACTATCTATCATATTCAGTGATCTTCAAACAAGACACTGGCCATTTAGATCAAAAAGGCAGGTAATAAAAACTGGTGATTGCTTGTAGGGGTTGTTGATGGATTCAAACAAAAGCACAAGGGTATTTTTCCTTGTGATCCTTGAAGCACAACTAATTTAAAACTGCACTTTCTAAAACGGCAACACTAAACCCTCATTATTCAACTGGTATGTTTGTAAAAGTTGGTAAAATGATAGATTTGTCATTACCAACTCGAGTGCATTGAAACAACTGATAATTCTACAGGCAGCTGACCGATACTGTAAAACAACACGATGAACCAATAGTATTTTTTCATGTTCTTATCGTAGCAGGTCATGTATTGGCACAATTCAAATACACCCTACCATTTATAGGACTTGGAATGCTGAATTGGTGATTCATTTCAGACAGTTTAGATTTGGTGCTTTGGGTGCAGTGTATCTGGCAAAGTGGCAGGTAGCTCTGCTACCCATCCTCGCTTTTTGACTTCACAAAGATGCATTGCAACAACAAACTCGTCTGTGTCAAGGTATCCATCTCGAGTCCAATCGGCTAATGTCCAAATTTTAGCCAATGAAACCATATCTAAACCTGTAGCTTCAAAAACATGTTTGAGCGCTGGCCCTGCAAGCCGATCTCCACCAGACCCTGCTAAAGCTTTGAATTGATCAACGTAGGGTTTGCGATCAATACACTGATAATCGTACATTTCTATCTCAGACGGTGCACCATTTGGAGAGCCACCAAGTAAATCTTCTGATGCTGCAAAAGCAAAAGGATTCTGTATATGCGTAGGGAGAATTTGAGGTGCTTCTGGAATCTGCCGCATTAGGTTGGGCAAATCATTCCCCAAAGCCTGAATACATCAAGGCAGAGTTAGAATTTGCTTCAAACCTATCTCTAAGCAACACACTTACATCCATGATAAGCTGCATGCTTTTCTTGTCGAGCTTTGGAAACTTTTTGAGTTTAAACTCGGCAAGCCTTTCTCGATATCGGTCAGGATTAGGAAAATCACCAGGAGATAGCTGATGCAGTCGTTGAATCTTTTGAAACTCTATTCCAAGATTTTTAAGTAAATCATTTTGCTTGGTTTCTTTTCCAAAAAAACTGGGCATCTCTTCTCGAAGATGAGAAACAATGAGTGCGTGAACCTGAACCATGCGGGCTCTCTTGACAATTTCGTTGATTTTACGAATTGTTGCATTTCTGGGCAAACACTTGATATCATTGAACAAATCCTTCTGCTCGGCCTTGAGGAGCAACTCGCAATCCCGATTTTGCATGGGCTGATCCCAAAAAGAACCAATATCTAAAAATTGGCAGTATAATTGCATTAGATACTTGATTGGAACTAAGCCCGCGAGTTTGGTAAAAACTACTTACATACTCGCGATACTTCTGGAGTTTGCATTACCTTTCCAAGAGACCACATGAGCGCACCATATCTAGATTCAGTTGCAATAAGTCACTTTGAGAATGATATCAAAAACAGGGCTGCTGTGAGTCACTAAATACTTACACACGCATCAACTGTTGGCCAGTAATCATATCTGCCTTGTTGAGTACCACGCGAATCTTGTCGTCGTGCCCGCGCAATGTCATGATGGCTTCTTTAAACTCATCAGAGATATCAAGCTTGTGTGCATCAAACAGCAATAAAATCATGTCAGCACGCTGAGCAAACCATTCAATGACCTGTGGGAAATCGTATGCGCGTCCAATACGCTGTTTTTCACCAGATAGAATGCCAGGCGTGTCGATCAAAATAACATTGTCAAGTGCAGGTACTGGGGCTTGTGAAACTTGAAATTTGTTGAGAAACGAAACTCCAAAATGGCTGAGCGCCTAATTTCAACAAGGGTTTAAACTCTAAATCTCGACTATTTAGCATGGCCAAAGTACTGGACTATTGTATTGCTGGACTGTAAATCCAAGCATTATGCTTACTGTAAAGGGAAGATCTGTGCTAACTGCTGCTGCGTTTCCAGGAATAGTCCGTTCCGGCCCGTCCATAATGGCAATGAATCGATCCGTCTATTATTGTTTATACAATGTTGCTAAATAAGCGATCCAGCGATTATTTACAATTTCAGCATGATCTGATATGTACATACAGTTGGCTCGGGTCCAATATGTGCTCCAAGATACTCTCTACCCAAAAGATGCTTAATAAAAGTGGTTTTTCCTAATTCATTAGATATAATTCATAAAACAGTAAGCAGCTGGACAAGGATGATATCTGCCCAAAGAGTTTAGATTTGCTCAGGCAAATCAGATATATGAAATATACTACTTATAGGCAAAGCATCCACCCACCAACACTGTATTGACCCATAAGTAAAACAATGGGTTTTGCAGCTACATCAGCTGCAGACAGAGCAGCACTATGGAAGATATCAAACGCATACATTTCCTCGAGCGGCTTGATCTTTGTCTGCAATTCAATTAGAGCATGCATCCCATTTGATTATTAGGGTAATGAACAAACAGATATGCAACAGACACCTATATAGATTGGCTAGTTGTATATCATTGGCCAATCATTCACAAGTCGTAGCGCAAAAAACAGACCTCATATATTCGTGTAAGTTCTGGAATGACATTCACAGCAGGCTTAGGACGAGATGGTGACTCTGGGATACTTACTGCCGGAGACAGTTGATTAGTGCTTCCAGCACTGGTTGCCTTGGATTTGTACATCTATTATTGAACCAACAGATGTGCTTTTGCTTAGAAAGCTGCGAGATTCAAAGATTTTACAATCGCGCGGAGTTTAGCATTCATCAAAACCAATGCACAGTATAATCACGTGATGTATGTGAATTGTTCAAAACCTTATTGAGCTATTGTCCATCTGGATGTCCTATTGACATTGCCCAAAAGAACATGCTCATTTTACAACGTTACATACACAATACATTGACTATTTATTAAACCCAGTTTATTCAATCTAACAAATAAAACAGCATTTCAGATCATATTGTCAAATATAACCCGATTTATTTGATTTAAAACCGCAATAAATCAATCATGATTGCCAAAATTAGCTTTTAATCTTCTAAAGGGTCCCGAACCTCTAATTTACTGTAATAGTGCGAGCATACTAACGCAATTTGATTGCAGTATGTTTAAGTCTACGTTGAACAACTGTTGTCGGACTAAACTCGTCGACTCAAAAATCAGATTTTTGAAAGCTGATATTCGCGATTTTGGATAACCTGATCCTCTGCGTGATGCACAGATAACATTTGGTGATGGCAGATAATTGTGACAACTAAATGAATGCTGCTACGGTCTAGTATATAAATACACTGTTTTGGCCATGGTTTTCTTTTATTAAAGTTTATCTTGATATAAATATGCTTATTAAATTTTCTTGCTTGGCAATTTTGGCTTCTGTTGTTAACCAATGCATTGCTACGATCCAACACGTCTCAATCCAACAGGGTACCACTTGCCTGGTAAGTTGTTTAATCGCATCATGTAAACCCCCCAATCTGTGACATTTCAATCGGTATACTATTTAATATTCACATTTGAAAACACAGAATCTAATTCATTTGTATGTTTAATAATGTGATTTGCTATTAATTAGGGAACAAACGGCAACCCCATTGTTGGAAAACAACTTGGATCCGACGAGTTTTGCAGTGTATTTTCTGTGACCAGCAGTATGTCATTTACAGTAATCCAACACACTTTGAGCAGGCTTTGTATAGGTGTAGCTTCCACCAACCAGAATAACGCGAAATTCTCTGTAATGCTACAAACATGTAATGGCGGATCATTACAGAGGTGGACAAAAAACTCGGACAATCAAATTCAGCTTGATGGCACTCAAAATTGCTTAACAATTAGTAGCCAAGGCGTGCTGTTTATAGATACGTGTATCAATCTAAAAGCTGATGCCAATAGATTCGCTCAATTCACTGCTGTAAATAGGCCCCGTACTATTCAAATTCAGCACAAAAAATTCCCATATATGTGTGCAGTAAGTCTATACCACTCTTGTAATCATAGCATATAGTTGTTTATAACATGTACTGTAAATGTGAATATTCCAATAAAGGGGGGAGATCGTGTGGCTCAAGCTACAGTCAAGATAAATCCAATATGCGCCATGTTCGGACTTGATAGCATTGATCGCTTACAAAATGTGTACTCCAGTATGTGTTTGGATGCTCGAAGTGGCACTCCATCGTTTAGTCCTTGCTCTAGCAGCATCACTCAGAAATGGGTTGTATCTCCCACTTTTAAAAAAATTCAATCTCCAACAACAAAAAAATGCCTTGACATTGATTACCTTCACAACAAGCTTGTTCTGGGCTCGTGCGATTCCCCTAATATGATATTTGTACCAGCTACCGTAGTTGGTAAACGTCCATCTCGCATGTTTTCTCCATATATTGACGAAAGTCTCACCAATATTGATATTGGGGATACAGTCAAAGCAAACACATTGCGTCATATTACGTTTGGTTTTGTAATCTCTGGATCACAAAATAACCAACCCATCTGGGGCAGCGACAGTCTTGTTGGCCAGTCAAGTACGTCTGCCGATCAAAAAATGATCGATGCGCGTTCCAACGGTGCTCAGGTTATTGTATCGTTTGGCGGGGCTGCTGGCAGCGAACTTGCGCTGGTCAGCTCTTCTACAGAGCAGCTTCAAGCAACTTACCAATCCGTAATTGACTACTATGGCGTATCAACTCTTGATTTTGACATTGAGGGAACTACGCTTGACAACATCGACATCAACAGCAGACGGTTTGATGCCATCAAAGGGCTGAAGCGTAAAAATGCCAATCTGGAAATCATTTACACATTACCAGTAGAAACCATGGGACTAATACAAAATGGTCTTGACTTTGTCAAACTGGGTATAAGTCGCGGTGTAAAGCCAGACATTGTTAATATCATGACCATGGACTATGGCAGCCAACAAAACAATATGGGTGCTGCAGCCATTTCAGCTTCGCAAAACACATACCAACAAATGAAAGATCTCGGACTTGATGTATTTATTGGCATCACACCCATGATTGGCGTAAACGATCAAAGCGGAACGTTTACTGCCAATGACGCAGGCAATGTTGTTGCCTTTGCCAAGCAAAACAGCTATGTCAAACTACTGTCATTTTGGTCCTTAAATCGTGACAATGGTCTTAAAAGGTCGCTAGATTATAGTAGTATGATTGATCAAGGAGTTTTTGATTTTTCCAACCAGTTTGCGACTTTTCAAAAGTAAATTTATTGAACTGCACATTAACAATCTTGAATATAGTCCATCACTGTCATAAACTTTATATTTAACCCTCAATAAACATCCAAGTATCCGATAATATAATTACAGTTGTATTCGCGTAAAATGAAACACTAAATAGGTCGGAATGGATGATAAAGAGTCATGCTTGATTGGTGTAAATCTTACTGGGCAACATTTTATTTTAAACTCATTAGTTGACTGGCATGAAAACAACTGTTGCATTTCTGAGATATGTTGGACTAGATCGCAAACGTATCTGATATTAGAATACAACAGAGTTTCAATAACAACGAATATGTAACGATTGTTTATTTCAAGACAATTACTGCAAAATCAATACAAAAATGGATTGTTTTACATGAATACAGCTGTAATAAAATTAAACTCAAACAAGATTGTGTTGACATGCAATTCAAAAATGATATATAAACCAACATAAAAAACCAATGAATTATAGGTCAAGTATGTAACAATAAAAAAACTGATGTTAGAAAGTTGCTTTGATGGTGCAGTGGTTAGCACGTCTCCTTTACACGGAGTAGGTCGAGGGTTCGATCCCCTCTCGAAGCACTTTTTTGTTCTTTTTAAATAGATTGAATTTGTAAAGTATTTTGATGTCATTTGCACAATAGATTGATTTATTGTAGTTTACAGTTGCATTCCCAAGATTGTTTTTCTTGCACTAGAACGTATCTGATTTTCGAGTTTGACAACATCAGAACAGTCAAACCCAATATCTGGATTGCAATACATACATCTGGTGATTGAATAATCTGACTACCAAAAGGCAGAATTTCAGTTTGTAGTAGGAAAGCACAACACATATTCAAGTGTTTCGTTTTACATGAATATAGCAGAGATATTCTAGAACAATGTCAGACAATCCAACAAGCCAGGAACATACACTTGAGCCATTCCATGACACCAATAAAGGCATACTTGATTTTCACAAGGAGGCATTGTCAGACATTAGCATGACACCCAATGTTCTCAATCCAGACCCTGCAACTGGTGATGGATTAGTCATTATGGCTCGAGGATTGGGGATTGAGCGGCTGTTGTCAACAATCATTCAGATCCATACTGATCCACACACTCTTGTGCTGTTGGTCAATCTATCTTTGGCAGATTTTGACAGGCTCAAGCAAAGCGTATGTGATGCTGCTGAAGCAATCGGTGTTTTGTCCGAAGCTGATGGTGGATGTATTCGTCCTGACCTATTTGTGTTTGTCAACAGTGAAATTTCGTCTGTAAAAAGGTAGATTTCTGATTAGAGTAGCTAGATGGATCAGGCTTGTTGTTTGGAGCAAACCATTGACAAGTTAACTTACGTTTGAATATAGGTCAGAGCTGTATTTAGCTGGAGGTGTACTGGCAGTTACTTCACAGATCTTGGTACTGGATATTCTCAACAAAGTCTTGCCAACTCATCTGGTTACTGGGATTCTTGTCAACAATGCTCACCAGGTGCGCGACGTTTCTACCGAAGCATTTATTCTCCGGCTGTATCGTGACGAAAACAAGGTAGGATTTATCAAGGCTTTTTCTGAAAACCCAGAGGCATTTGTAGGCGGGTTTGCTACGCTAGAACGAACAATGAAAGTGTTGTATCTACGATCAGTTTACTTTTGGCCGCGGTTTCACGTTCTAGTCAAAGAGTCGCTTGATACAAATGGGTCAGTGGAGCTGGTCGAGTTGCGCATACCCATGACTAAACGAATGAAGGAGATTCAAGCAGCAATCTTGGACTGTCTACATGAGTGCTTGCTGGAGGTGAAACGATTGAATCCAACCGTAGGTATTTGCATTGTGTCCACTATCACGGTGGTAAAGCCATTTCAAAGTATTTATTTTAGATTTTATACAAATAGCTGGAGACTGAAGAGTTTAAACTAGAAAACGCATTATTTAAATCGTTTGATACTACCATTCGTATCCAGCTTGATCCAATTTGGCATCGTGTCAGCACTAAAACAAAACAGCTCGTCAATGATCTTCACGTACTTCGTCAACTTTTATCGTAGGGTTTACTCTGAATTTTGCTTAAACTGCATTGCATTGATTCAAGTAGAGTTTGACTCATAGTTGCTGATTTCAAATATTTGTTTCGATTGTGCAATTGTATTTTGGTTAGCTATCTTGTTTCGTATGACGCAGTTACATTTTATTCCTTTTTGGAAACCATCATGACAGCCAATGCAGCAGCAACCACGTCAATATACAAGCGTGGTGCAGTAGAAAGTCCATGGTTGCTGTTAGATGCAGCACATACTGTGTTTTCCATGGGTAAAGAGCGTGTCTATAAGCAACTACCATCTACCAATGAGTCTCAACAAGGTCCATTAAATGGAATACTGTCAAATATTGAACCCGTTTTGGAAGAACAGCCCAAATGGCGTGCTATAGTGGAGGTCCTCAAGGAAGTATTAAAGGAAAGGGAAAAAATTGGTAATGTAGGAAATATATTGATTATTCTGACGGGCGATAGAGCTTGTCGTCAAATTCGCAGCATTATCGAAAACATGGGTTCTTCCACTACTGTATCACCAGACACTGTCAAAAATCAAAAATCTGCAGATGGAAAATCATCTCGTTCAAAAGCGTCACATCGAATGTTTAGCAGCATTGGATCTGAGCAATTGATGAATCACTTTTTTCAAAACTATTTGCGGTGGAAAAAAAACATGCCAGATGTGTCTAAAACACTTCAAGATGGTTCAGCTTTATCGACTACCACACAAAATAATTCAGCTATCCAACCTTCTAAACCACACGGGTTTGCAAATCGACAAGAAATTTCCTCAAGTTCTGCTGGTTTACAATCATTGAGTATGCTGCCAATAATGTCGCTGTGTTTTGCATGTATCTGTGCTAATCTGTCTCGATCAACCTTTTAATTACTAGATGGTCGGAATGCTCCTGCAAACAAGCGACGCAGAGTAAAAGGATCTAGTCTTGCAACAAACTCATCGGCTGCTCTATATCAATCACTTGATCTACTTGGACAACCAACTGCAGCCACTTTTGCTATGGAAGCAGAGCGTATAGCACAATTTTTAAGACAAACCAATGATGGGTCAGACAATATTGGTGATACAGATCCATTACCAAAGCAAAGCAGCTCGCCTTTATCGTATGTACATGTGCATGCATATGCAGCATCGTCGGTCGCGTCGGCTTCAGCAGAAGAAACTCGTAGTGCCAAAGTATTTAATGGCGATGACTCGCATTTATTGGAGCAGTTGAAACCAAGATGGATTATAATGTACGATCCAGATGTGGCATTTGTTCGTCGAGTAGAGCTTTACAAGGCAATACATTGTAACAGTGAGGTCAAGGTATATTTTTTGGTATATGATAACTCTGTGGAGGAGCAAAGGTATTTGACATCGATTCGTCGCGAAAAAGAGGCTTTTGAAAAGCTAATCAATCAAAAGGCGGTATGTATAGTTACTTTGCTGTAGTCGAGTAGATATAAAGTGCAATCCAGCTAATGTTTTTGGTGTCTACACAGACAATGGCAATCCCAATAGATCAAGACGGCAGAGTATCTACAGATCCCGAAGAGTTGTTTTGGAAAAATGTGGATACTAGAAATGCAGGTGGACTTCGTCGAGCTCCGTCTAAACCTTATCAGATTATTGTTGATGTGCGTGAATTTCGATCACCGCTTCCATCTTTGATCCATGCTAAACACATACGACTTGAACCACATACACTTGAAGTTGGTGATTACATTCTTTCACCGCGCATGTGTGTAGAACGCAAGTCTATTTCAGATCTTGTATCTTCACTCAAAAACGGACGACTGTATAATCAATGCGAAGCCATGTGTCTCCACTACGATTTGCCTATCTTGCTGATTGAGTTTGAACAAAACCGATCTTTTTCAACATTAAGCTCTTCCGAAGTCTTTGGAAGCGATATTTCTAGCAATGATTTGAATAGTCGGATTTCGTTGCTGTGTTTGACCTTTCCTAAAATCGGCGTGATTTGGAGCTCGAGTGCTAATGCGACGGCAGAGATCTTTGCAGAGTTAAAAGTAGGTGGCATGTATTGCAGTAAAATTTGAATTCAGTTGTAGTTGAACGCACTTTTTCATGTATCTTTTAGGCAGGAGAGGAAGAGCCCGTTGCAGCAGATGCTATAAAAGTAGGAGTGGATACCAAAGAGGCAATTGACAGTGCATACAATATTATTCCTTCGGTGAGTATTTCAAACTGGTTTTATTCAACCACTGTTATAGCTTTCAAGACTAATGCAATTTTTTATTCAGGATGTGTTGGCTGCGTTACCAGGCATATCAACAAAGACATACCGATCTGTAATGCGCAATGTTGATAATTTACGACAGTTGACAGAGATGTCGTGTAAGGCCATGCAGGATATGCTAGGACTGGAGGATGGACAAAGATTGTATGATTTTGTAAATACCAATCCATCAAAACGAGGCAAGATGGTGATCTGATTGTAGTGCTGATGGAGAATACAAGGTTCAAGGCTGTGATGGAAATTTCTTTTGGACAAAATACAATTTTTGGAGATATCAAACCTGTCCAATCGTGTCATTTTGATTTGATTTGATCGACACAAAGTACCATGCTATTGGAACCCATCAACTGCTACTCTTTTAAGCCATACACTCAATCATAGCGATTGATTAGTACAGTAGTAACTCCAAAGTTTTGATTGCTTGTTTCTGCTTACAATTGAATTTCAGCACCAGTTGCTATTTTTTATAGATTGTAACTCGAATTTCAAAATAAAAACAATATTTCATTTTTTGAATTTTAGCCATTAGTTTTATGGCCCAATGTAACTTGTTTTACACGCTGTAATCTGGACAATCTCTATCGTGACACTTTTTTCGCGTAAAAATGAGAAAACGAGTTGGATTGGGCCATAAAAGTAATAGCTAAAAATCCGAAAAATAAAATATTGTTTTTATTTTGAAATTCGAGTTACAATCTAAAAAATAGTATTCGTTTGAGTAGCCTTGGTCCATCTTCTTGCCCAGGAAACGGTATCCTCCGGTGCTCTCTACATACTACTCATACATTCCACCCAATAGACAATGCCAAGTGTAGGAATGGGGTCTCATACCCAAACGAATGCCTTGGCCAGTCTATGCACTCTTCTGGTGCCACGAATCTGGGCAGATACTCAGTTAATCAAACACTCGCCCAAAACAGATGAGTTGAACTCGAAGCAGTCGAGTCTACAAACTGTAGAAAAACAATCTCAATCTGTTAGCAGCAGAAATGCCCATCGTTTAGCACCTTCCGCCTATACCCCCTATACCACCACTATAACTAGCCGTTGCAACACTTTTCAAGCAGATACCGAGTTGCAAAGCGTCTTTGGTGCTTTCTGTATCAGAGTGATTCGACAGACCCAGTCCAACAGCATTCTTGTGTTTGTGGCTCTACTATATGTCCGCCGTCTTAGACTACGCAATCTAAACATGTCAGGATCCTATCAAAAGCCAAGCCGAGGACTTGATTTTCGACTTTTCGCACTTGGCATGATGCTTGCGTGTAAAATGCAAGAAGATCGATGGGGGGCCGATGTGATTATGGCAGCGGTACAAAGCCCCAGCAGCCAGAATGAGCATCTATCTCGCAGTACCTGGGCCAGTATTCTCTGTGTCAAGAATACAGCAGAATTAGCATTACTTGAGCGAGGGTTCCTTGTTGGGCTTGGATACGAGTTATTTGTTGGAGTTGAAGAACTGACCGTGTTTATCAATGAGATGCGAATAGTATGCGATCAATCTGTAGCAAGACACACGAGGACAATTTTTGAATTGCATATGCAAGACCGTATCTTTAGTGATGTTGCAACGATGATCAAAAGAGCAACTTGTGATTAGGTTGAATAGACAGTCGACACAATAAAGACTTGCAGCCTTGAATGAATTTTTGTAAGAGTGACAATCCGACACGTTCATGCGACAACACGTTCGTTTCTATTAACAAAAGCAGCTTTTTTCAGACATGAACTTGCAGGGACTTGCACAACAGGACATGCACAACTTGCAGGACATCAGTTTGCTCCAAGCACTGCCTACTTTCAAGAGGCTCAACAGAAACACAGCGAATCACGTGGGTGTGGTTTCAGAGTTAAAAAGCGACCCAGAACATTCATTAATATTTGAGTGGACTGACCGAGTCCAAGGCAGGTTCATTCATCAGTATTTGACATTTCCAAGTGTGATAGTGTCAAGTTTTGCTATTTGACACTTGCGATTATATTGAATTCAAAACCCTTCAAATGCTCAAGACGCTGATGCCCAGCAGCACCAGTCCGCTGAACCCACTCGATCATCATTCCATTCCGACCACTAATATAACCACTGCCATCCATCCAACCCATTCACTACTCAACACTGCATCAACTTCATCCACACCTGGAATCAACTCTGTCGTACTTCCTCCTTCAGTGCTGGCCACTTCAATGTCTGCATCTTCAACTCTTCCCACGTCTTCTATTGTTTCGTCCTTGATGGTCGACCATCAGCTCGAATGCGCCATGTATTCTCCTGCTGTTGCTGCAATGGCTTCTCCTTCGCCCAAATACTCGGTCGTCAATCCGCCTCATCTACTGTCACATAATAATGAAATAACTACTTCCATCCCAACAAGCCTCGCGACATCACAGAGTCTAGTCGACTCCGATGACGACTATGCTTCATCAAGATCCTACGTTTCTAGATCCTCTTCTGCATCCAATTCATACCGAGCTAACCCGAGGGTACGACGAGCACGATCGTACGATTCTCGAGGTGGTCCGTTTATGACTGATGATGAAGAGGTGGATATGATTGCTCCATTGGCACCTTCTGTCATTTCAGGTCAGGTCTTTGGTGTGGTTTCCGAGTCTGTGCTCCCTGGTGGATCACATGCTATTGACCCTGCATTGATACCTACTTCTGCTGCATTCAGTCGCAACAACAGTTATCAAGGATTCGCTATAGATCCAGAAGCACGGAGTTTTTATCTCGATAATTTATGGGAAAGTCATCGTCATGTATTTTCTAGTCATGGTCGATCCCAACACCGACCATTGACCGATCTTCAGCACCGGAATAGAAATATTACGGATTATACTGGCGTAAATCATCCTTGCACTGTTGGCACAGATGTCGAGTCTTCTACTGCATCTAGCATTCCCAACCCTCAATTTGTTACATTTCCTTCACTTCCTGCTCGTCGTCATTCAATATCTTCGTCACATTCGTCTAGAAGTGTTGTAGATTATCCCTTCAACTATCATCACAGACTTAATCCCGCTACTGGAAATAGAGCTGGATATCAACGCTTAAGCTTGGAGGTTTCCCATGATTCATTGCGTGGCGAAATTGATGAAAGCGATGTAGAATTTTCTCCCCTTCGACAGCAACCACCACCACGACTACAACCTCAAAAGGGTATTTTGCAGGCCTTGATATCTCTTTTCAATGGTATACCGAAACATGTACAGTCTAATGCTATCCAGAATTTAGAAGAACGCTCCAAAACAACTTACTCTGCTTACACTCCTCTTTCAAGGAGATACAGTAGTGACTCGTTGCCAGAATCAATTGATTCGCAGGTGACTCCTCGTCCATCTCGCCGTCAGAATCGTTCATCTCATCAACCTGATAGTATATCCCAGCCCGGCGGACATTCTGGTATATTTCCCTTTCGCCACGATACAAATTTCACAAAGGATAATTTGATCGAGGATGGCAGCGATAGTCAGGGTTCTAGTGGTTTACGGAATAGATCCGTTTTAACCTGGCAACAAAACAATCAGTATCGTGGGAGAACAGTGAGTACCTCTTACGATGATCGGCCAGCATCAAGTAATATGAGTGGGGTTAGCGGCTATAGTCCTACCAGATCTGTACGAAGCGATAATGGATTCCGCAGTCATACAATGCTGCGATTGCCCTCTCCACCTCGACGTGCAGTTCCTCTCACTTCATCCAATCCTCATATACCAGAAGTTGTGATTGACGAGTCTGGTCTATCCTCGTTTCCTAATTATGATACTGTCAGCCATCGAGCTCCACAGACAGAGTTTATGTACTCTGGGTCAGCTTCTCGACACGTAGTCGCATCTAATTCTGGAATAGCTTCTAATAACTGTGGAGTGGGGGGTTCTAGCGGAGAAAATACAGGAGAATGCATGGGCAGTAATCACAGTCCTCACCGTCAAGGTAAAGGACATAGTCGTAGTTACACATCTCCGCAGATTCATATTGATCGACCCAACTACATGCGCAATCACGATTTTGAGCGTCAAGTGCCATTGGTCTACTACCGTCTGGGCATCTGTGTCACTGTGAGCGATCCCTTAATCCCCACTACCCTTAATAGCCTTGAGCGTTTCTTCACCAAGTATACAGTATATCCTGTCACTGTGCGTCTTCTTAAACCTCGCGTTGTTGGGTTTATCAACGTTCGTCCAGTCGCCTATACTCTTTATAAACGCTACAAGGACTTTCGCATATTGTACACACTATTAGCTCGAGAATTTCGACAAGAGTTCAAATCTCTTCCCGAGTTTCCTAAAAAACTATTTTTTGACCGATACAACCCTCTGGTCGTGTCACACAGACTGAGGGTTTTTAACGAGTTGCTGACGTTTGTTACACTGCATCCAGTATATTCAAAAACACCGGCTGTTATAAAATTTTTGGATCCACTTTGCGTGGATTGATTTTATTCATACTTGATGTGCATAGGCTTTGCTATTAAGAATTCTATTTTGTTGAAATTTGAATAAAACCATCGTTGTTTATAAATCCATTCCAGCTTGTAGTGAGTTGTGAGCCGAGTTTGCAGAATCGCACAACAACTTATGATCGGATACGATCAAACAGAATCCATTCAAAAGACTGATTTGAATGCATCAACTGCTACTCAGTCCTATGTCCAAGATCAAGTTTGCAGTAGTATGTGCCAGTAACCAGAACAGAAGCATGGAGGCACATCATGTTCTTCGGTGGGATTTTCATTCGCAAGCATACAACTACAAACATGCTATTATACTCTAATACTTGATATCCAATTAGGCAACACAATTTTAGTATATCGTCATATGGAACAGGAACAGCAGTCAGACTTCCAGGACCATCGGCAGATAAGCCCAACATATACTCATTCGGTACGCCGTATGATGACATCTACAACGAATTGGCCAGTCAAGACCGGCATTTGTAAGTCAACCAAACTATTGATACAATACACTTTATCTTGCATTCAACAATAACATTCCTTTTGAATGCAAGATATACACAAAACGGGTTATTGCTGATGCTTGACCGAAATAGACGAATCAAACGAGCACCTGAACGATTTCAAGACACCAGTGATGTATTTGACGTTATTTTTACCTGTGAGGAGCGGTGTTTTGATGCGGCTTGTGAGAGTAAGCAATCACTTGTTCATACCATTCTACACAATATAGTGATTGATAGTATATCTGATGTAGGTATATTGAATCGATCGCGTCAATCCAATCAACCTGTCCATGTCATCAACGTCGAGATTATTGATAACCATGAACAAGCAACTGTGGGTGGTAAACTGATTCTTCAACTAGCACAAGAGGTACACACCCTTATTCATTTATACAATAGAAATGGTCAAGTTGGTAGCTAACATGAGTGTGGATGGTCAGATTGAAGCAACAACAGATCTGGATCAGGAGATTGGCGCATTACTAGAAGCATTTATTGACAAGACCAAAGCAAATATTCTCTACACTATTACATATCTATAACCGCAATGTATAACTTGGATATTATAAAGTATTTGCAGTTGCTCAAAAATTGCTAATAATTTACTCGGCTCAACACGCTATTGCATTCATATGCCATGTATACAAATATATTTTGCAAAATCAAGCAATAGAGCACTAACGATCAAGATAATTATGATGGGACAAGTTGGACTGGACTGGTGTGCAGGATTGAACTAACCACTAACTGGATTGAGATTCAAACTCCTTACACCGTGTACTACATAACAATTCGACTGATCGTCGCTCATACTTGACCTCCATCTCCCAATTATTGCCATACTTTTTTGATTCATGTTTCATCACTGCTCGACTGAAATTAAACAATCTAACCAATGGAGTGCTGCAACCCACATTAGCGAATAGAATATTCTGTTCGGCTACTATCCGATGCAATACCCCATGCGACCAGAGTAATTCATAAGCCGATAAAAGTATGTGACAGAATGATAGTGACCATGTGTGTGGTGTAGCGTGAGTAAAAACAGAGCGAAATTGAATCTGTTGCAATGGATCGACTGCAGTGTAAGATGATGGGACAGATCCAGTCAGTGCAACGACCAGCACTCGACACAATTCAGCATGACGAGAACGACGACGAGCAAGAGGTGGAAGACTGGTCGAGAATCCAGAAAATAGCATCTGTCCTACTACACCGTCGAGGTGATGTGTGGTGTTCATGTGTCTGTAAACTACTGTTTCGCGCTCAATCTCTTGATCAAACAAGTACGATGGTTTCAAGACTGCTGGTATGTCTACCAATGCATGATGATTAAACATGACTGGTAGAGATTCGGTGTGTGCAATGGGTTGTGATGAATTAATGGGAACAGTGATTGCAAATACGATTGGAATGACAGCATGTCCTGAATGAGTGGTTGTGATGCAATTTGAAATAAATGGTTTAGTATCTGCTGCATTGGCTCTTACAAGTGCAGCAGCAGAAGATACTGGTTTGATGGTGAGTCCAGACAAGACTGCATTTGCATTCAGAAGAAATGGAGCAACATGTGTGAAATGATTTGAAGCATGCTTCAAGGTCTGTGGTAAATTTGAGGACTGTAACGAATTAGGAGTTGATGAACACGGAAAAAAGGCAGATTGAGGTAGTTGCTTTGTAAATCCTGGTACAGATTGCAAGTCCAGTTGGACAATACGCGGATGCCAGATGGGTGTATGTGGAAGTATTGGTGCATGACATGGTTGAAATTGCTGGAGTGGGCAACTCAAAAGTGGAGTGGAGTGCTGATGGTCAAAGCTAGACGATTGAGGCTGGTTGATGGATGACAGTTGATTACACGACGGAATGTAGCGATTCATATGGTTTTGTGGTAGATTCCTGAAATCCAAAGGATCGCCATCAATATTTTCATTACCGACTTCATTTTTAGAGTAACATGTGTTTATACGAGGTGGGCTGCAGAGTATTGGGGTTCCTGGACCAAATGATGGTGGAGCAGGTAATCTACTACCAGTTTGTGGGTCTGTTGGTATGTGATTGTGGCTGTAAATATTCGTACTGATAGCTATACCGCTACTTGGATGATTTGTTTTTGAATTCCGCTTTGATTTGAGATTATTATTGTGGCCATTTAGACTGGATATTGACAGTGGATGTGGCAATATGGAGGTGCTGCTGGAATTGATTGACAAAAACTCTTTCATTAAAGCAGCAGTTGTATGATGTGGAATCAATGTTTGGATATCAAAAACCTCTGATGATTTAGCACTAGATCTATTAGTAGCTAATGGCGATGCAGTTGGTTTGATGGATGGCAATGGCGACGATCGAGTGTATGGAGCTGCTATGACTCTGGCTCTTGCTCTATGTGACCTTTTTGATACGATGGCTGATGATTGATTAGTGTATTCAGTTGCAGATGCAATAGGTGGCATCAATAGTTTATTGTTGCTGTCATGATGGATTTGTGTGTCGAGTGCAACTGATCGTATTATCGTATCTGACACTTTATTGGTTTGATTGCTACTCAAAGCATCTTCATTATTGTTGCTGCTCATAATACTTTTACTTTTACTCAAGCTGCTTTTGTAACAATCCCAAAGCAATATCAAGGTATTTGTAGGGTTGATGTTTGAATGCAATCTCAGTTACTTGAACCCGTACAAGATATATTTCCATAACGGAACCATTGTCAGCCACATGTTTTCAGCTATCTGCATTCAAATAGTTGACTGGGATCCACTAAAGTGTATTGGATTCTAATCTTACATGAGTCTGCAAATCAGTTACTTTGAATTTCAAGATTCGTGCTGGTTTCAGTATAAAGCAATTTATTTCCAGCATCTCGTTCAACATAATCATCTGCTTCTAATATATTGCTTTTTACAGATTTGAATCTCCAGCCAACCTTTTTATCCCGCAATGCCACGTGGGAAATATCGCTTGGGTAGCATTCCGATAGGGTTTTATAGTAGTGTAAATATCCAACTATGCGAGTTCAAGTATTTTGAATTTATAAATGGTAGAATCCTTTATAGCTGCAATATAACTATCAATACATGGTCCTAATGCGACGAATCTAAATCACAACTCCAAAACATCAATTCCTTTTCAAGCTAGACTTGCTCAAAGGATCAACAACTCTAACACGTTGCATTCCAGTTTTCATCTGTTTACTCCAATTCTATATCCATACTTTGATTTGGATTACTAATTGATATGTGCAGCCTTTTTCAAGATTTATTTCATGGACGCTTGAATGGAATGTGTTGTTTGTATCTGACTGCACATGTGATTGTAATCAGTGAATATTTATCAAGATACTATTTCAGGATATCTTGTAAAACAACTTTGTAAATGACCAGTTTTTACAAGCCAATTTATACCATCAACCTTATAACTGCGTATCATTGCATTACGAATGCGAATGAATTCATTCCGTTTTGAAACCATGAGATTAAAGCCAATTCATTCACAAACAGAACAAATGAGATTGCCTGCACGTCGTTTACGAGTCAATGCAGATTGTTGCAATATCAACACAATGACTTATGTGACTGTCGAGTGTAGTTTTTGAGATGAATCATATGATTGAGTAGGTTGACCCTTTATAGCTGATTCTGTCGAGTGCATTTTTGAATTCAAACTCGTCTTTCAAAACAACTTATGGAGAAGCGCAAGGACATGACATCTAGCTTGCTGGGAATGGACCGAGGCGCCGGCTCTGCTTCCAGCGTATCGTCGCTTACATCTGTATCCAGTGCGCGTCCTCGTAGAGGTTAGTGCTGCATGACATGCTGTAGCATTAACTATCAAGCCATGTTCCAATGCTCTGTCATTGCTATTCAAATGTCAAGGGATTTGGATTCTGCATTGCTGGTAGTTGAATGGCAGTGGGTTGAGCAACAATGTCATGCATGTTAAACTCCATGATTTACCCTTGTCTTGACCACTCACGACTTGTTTATGAATATCAGACATATTAGAGCTCAAAAACGAGATAGGCCCAAAGTACATTATTCTTATGGTAGGTCTTGCTCCAACTGTATCTTCAAACACTATTGCTCTAACACTGCTTTCTATCATGTGTTAGGTTGGACTGCCTGCTCGAGGAAAATCATGTAAGTCGAGATTGTGTCAAGGCTGCTTTAGTGGGTTTTATTAGTGTTGACTTGACATGCTTCTGGATATTACTAGATATTTGCAAGAAATTGTGCAGGTATCTTTCCTGGTGCGGATTCAACACCAAAGTCTTCAATGTTGGCAATCGTCGTCGTGTCATGAACACCAACGGTATAGTTCAATGTGTCGATTCTCAATCTCAGCATGATGTATGTTTTATTTAATTCGATTGCTTTAAACTAGATACATGTACCGTTGAATCGTATCCCAACGTAAAGGCTCCAATAATAACTGAGCCTTCATTTACAGGTTTGCCAATTGATTCTCAGCCTACTGCTATTCCAAGAAACAAACGACTCGAGGCAATATGCGAAGGGCTTTCAAACCAACAGTTGTCTGCTCCTCCAAATATGGGAATCGTTCCTTTACGAACTGCACCCCAGACTTTCATGTCATCTCCCGTTGTTCCACCAGTACACGGTGTCACACCTCACGATGCACACTTTTTCGACAATACAAACCAGGATGCTAAAGCAATTCGTGAGCGATTGGCTTTGGATACACTTGATGAGCTTATTCTATGGCTGAACCATGGGGGAAAAGTAGCGATTCACGATGCAACAAATTCGACGGTAGAACGAAGGAAAAGTCTCTTGGAGCGTGTTGAGCGAGAACCTGGAATCAGAGCTCTATTCATTGGTGAGTTTATTCGTATGCTATGTGATTTGCACGGATGTTAAAAACAAGTAAGCCAACTACATTTTCAAATTTGATAGAGAGTATCTGTCCGGATCCTGCTGTTTTGGCACAAAATATCCAGATGAAGCTTAATGGCCCGGATTATAAATTTATGGATCCTGAAGTTGCTATAAACGATTTCCAGGCTAGAATTGCCAATTATGAAAAGGTGTACGAAACTATTTCCGAGGCTGAAGAAAAGCGTGATGTGAGGTAGCCAACTTTACATTAGTATTGAAATCAGCTTTTTGAATCTATTTTAACCATTTTTTATTTCCACAGCTACATCAAGATAATTAATGTTGGTCAAAAGATTATTGCCAACTGTATTCGCGGATATCTTCCCAGCCAATGTGTGTTTTATCTCATGCAAATGCACATCAAGCAGCGTACCATCTATCTGACGCGGCATGGCCAATCTGATTTTAATTTATCCGAGCGTATCGGAGGTGATCCTCCAGTAACGCTGCTTGGTAGAAAATATTCCATAGCACTTGCGAGATTCATGAAACAACTGTGTCCAGCAAAACCTCATACAGAATCCTCTACCACATCTCCCTCTCAGAAGGAATCAAACTACTTTGCCTCTAGTGGTGACGAACTTTTTACGAGTAATAGCAGTGGATTTCAAACTGGTACTGCGACACCAGACCCTACTCCAATGACCAATGTAAGTGATCGAAACGCCCCACTCAGTGTCTTCACATCAACGTTGCGTCGCACTATGGATATTACGGATCAATTTGATCCGGATGAGTATGAAGTCAACAACGTCAGGTAAATCGTTGATCAAATGTCGTTTCAAAAGTACTTGATGTTTCTGACATGTTTGTAATATCTGGTCATGTAATTTGTACTAGATTTCTCAACGAAATCTATGCTGGCTCGTTCGAAGGCTTAACCTATGCTGATATCGAGCGCGATCATCCATTAGAGTTTGCGGCACGAAAGCGTAACAAGTTGCTGTATCGCTATCCTGGATCAGGAGGTGAATCTTATATTGTAAGTCGATCTTGCCGAGATGAATTCATGTGATCAAAAGTTTCTTATTTCACTTGGCTAAATGGTTGATTCATTAGGATGTGATTGAGCGTCTACGACCAGTCATTATCGAACTGGAGCGAATGCAGTCTGATGCACTTGTTGTAACCCACCAAGTCGTGCTTAGAACGCTATTGGCTTATTTCCTTGGCATTCCACTTCATGAAATGCCCACATTGGTTGTCCCTCTTCACACACTATATTGTCTCAAACCACAGCCCTATGGTACAGATGTGACAAGATGTAAGCTGTATCTATTTTTATTAGTCCATGAAATTGACATGGCTTGAATGCTGCGTCAAAATTGTAAACCGAACTTGATGGATTGACCATGTCATTTGTTTCTATTTTAGATACATACAACCCGGAACTGGATGATTTTGAATATGTAGGAACAGGATACGAATCCTGAATTCTATAAAATGATGGCACGAATCAGAAGGATTGCCAAGATTGACACTTCAATCCAAAACAGAATTAACGTTGAAATCCATATCTATTTACAAATCTGCAGACTCTATTAATCTGCTGTACATATTTTTATTATATCTTGCATGGGTTTTGGTAGCTAAATTGAGCTAGTGCTGACAGGTTCGTAATAGATGATAATGTTGAAGCTGCTCATTGATGGATCTGTAGTAATCAGGTGTGGCTAGATTCTGCTGGCCATCTATCTGGATACTGTGCTGTATAAGTTGTGCTGGAGATTCCTGAGAATAAGCGGCATGCATCGAGTCAGAACCTCTTGACAAGAGTCGAGTCTGTCGTAGTTGGTTGAGTTGCATATTCATTGAAGCATAGTTTTCCATTGTAGCAAGTTCTTCTGGATGAATCGAGTCTGTAAACTCATCCTGGGACGCTCTAGTGGATATCCATAGCCTGGTCGGTAAATTCACTCTGGTAGTTGTAGTAGAGATATTCTCGGAATGCAGTGCTTCAAGTTGGTCTTGCTCAAGAGTGTCTGAGATGGTTTCTGGTGGACTAGTCATCCGTATCCGTTTCAATCCACCACAGACTCGTTGCATATCAATTTGAATAGCAGGTGAAGGAGGTGTGTAGTTATCAGTAGTGTTTAGGACATGCATATCGTTAATGGCTGCTACATTGCTGTTCAAGTGGTTGGTTTGCCAGGGTTCATCGAGTGAATCTCTTGCATGTTTCCTGCCTGTAAGGTGAATATTGCCTGCCATCAGCTGGCTTATTACAACCAGTTGCCAAAGAAGGTCAAGTATCGTTTATACTGTAAATGGCAAGTTATCGAGTTTATTTCAATACCAACAGGATCAAAGCATTCCATCTGATCAAACGCAACTAGCCAGTAGTCAGTGTCTTCATGATCTAGTCTCTCCATATAACATGCACTTCATCTGTTCGAAACCTTTTCAATTATCAAAGATCGATTAGTCAACCATTACAACCAACTCAACTTGAAGCTGCTCACCTCTGAGTGCATGTTGTTTGTTCTAGTGGAGTCGTATATCCAGCCTTATACATCAACACACCAGCTTGTGCAATCATGAGTCCATTGTCGATACAGAATCTACCATTGATTCAGACTAAATTAGAATCTATTCACCAAATCTGTATTGCTGGCACGTTAACAATTCACCTTTCATCCGTGGCAAATAAATGTCCGCCACGATCTTTGGTCATACTTTCCATCATCTGCTGCAGTCTAGCATTGCCTACGTAATTATCGAATCATGCCAGAAAATAATAAAATACAGTCAACAGACATTCACATGAAAAGAACAATCAATAACGTAGATTTACATCCAACTCCGCCAACAATCAGCACTTCTTGAGATCCAATATGAGCCATGGCACGCTCGGTAATCTCCACCAGCATGGCAAATAGCGTCTCTTGTAAAGAAAAGCATAAATCATCTACAGTCACTTCGCCAGTGTCGAGTTTCTCTTTTGCGATGGTTTCAATAAATGACAAGATTCCTGAAAATGAAACGTCCATTCCTTTGACTCCATAAGGCAACTCGATAAAGTTTTTCCCTCTTTTTAATGACCAGAGATTAGTGTTCAAGACAGTTTAATCCAGCATAATATGATTTCACCTTTTGGCACATTGCTCCACATTGTATCCAGGACTGGGATCGTTGGATAAATTCACAATTCTTGCAAACCGATCTAGACAGTTTCCAACAGCAATATCTATGGCTTCACCAAATATTCGATATCTAGAAAAATATATCAGTCCATTGAATCTCATACATTGAACATCCTAGTTTAATTTATACATCTCACCTCTGTTCTGAATATGCGATAACTTGGGTATTTCCACCACTCACATACAACACAATAGGATTGACTGCTCCAGTAATCATACGGCCCATTTCAATATGTCCAATGCAATGATTGACTGCAACAAGAGGTTTCCCCCATAGCAATGACAGTGTACGGGCAGCAATTGCCACAGATATCAATGGTGCTGCCATTCCTGGTCCTAATGGGATTGCAATATCCAGATAAATAAACATGCATCGGTTGAAATCCAATCCAGTATCAATCAACAACCTTTTGTATAACATATACAATCAATTTCAGATGGACTGATTGCTGCATCCTTCAAAGCCTGCTTAACAAGTGGAAGTACATGCTGACGATGATGAATTGCAGTGTCTTTTGGTAAAAATCCTTGTCCAGGTGGAGTGATGTATGTATGTCGTACATTTGCCAATACAATGGTTTCCCCATCCAACTTGTGCTCAATGATGCCAATACCAATCTTGTTTGCCGAACCCTCTTATCCGTCCAATTCACCAAGTTGTAGTAATCCAATTCACATCTGTCAGTATTGTTTATTATGTATTCGGCAGTACATTTATACAAGATGGACGCAAGGCAATGTCACAGGCATACCAAATCCAATTGCAATCATTTCAATGTCAAAATTCAATGAAAACTTGGAATTGCATCATCTGGTTCCTATTCAATTGGTTCTCGTAGATTACCATTAACACGGCAACTGATATTCTGACACCAACTCATTTACACTCGTGTTCATGCAACACTTGTATCTATTATATAGTGATTTGTTTTGGAATAAAAAAGCTCAATGATTCGTTGCGTTTTATTACAAATTAACTTGAATCAACACTCGATTCTCAAACAACACCCATCATATAATACATACAATCAAACTATAGTTGTAAACTAAAATTATCTTGATTTTGCATAACTGCACATTGTACAATTACCGTGTTCATGCATTACAGCTCAGTGATTGGGCTCGACTGCTCTTAAATCTGTAAATTCATCCTGAAACCTCTGCGTCCTAGCTCAAACAACCTCAAGAATACAACTGTTGTTTTATGTCAATCACTAGAAAAAATGAATGAATTTAAAACAGAATGTTGACCAGTAAATACGAGTTATTATACCATGAGATTGGCTGTTTATTATGTATTTTGGCATTCTTATTCAGTGTTTCATGTTACGTGAATACGGTTGTAAATGAATAACTGCTGCCATGTCCAGTTTTAATGAAAATTGCATTTTGCAGTATAAATGTTTTGCTCATCGACGAGATACTGTGGATGCATTTGTAATGAGGTGAGCATGTTCCTATGCATTACCATTCAATAAAATCACGTTAGTTTCTATTGCCAATCTATTTAAAAATAAAGGGATTGCATACTTGGTCCAATGGTTTCTTTTGTGGAGACCATACAGTCATCACGACTCCAATGCATACCACAATACAGAATATCCATGACACAGAGTAAAATCCTGTTCCAAATAACGGGAGTGTGTACAGATATCTACTGACAAGTGTAGATATTATCGACGGGGTACATACATCTACAATTGTTTCCAAAACACGGCGTTATGAATCTCATTACTCATCCAGCAATTGATTGAACATCAAATGACTAATGTGTCATATTTATATCTACAATACATCAACTCCTACCAACAGGACTTGTAAATTGACACGAGTACAACTGAGCTGGAGTAAGAGTGCAGTTGCGTTTTCCAGTAGAGTCCATCACATTGCACTAGATATACGAGTATAAATCAAATACACCATCATTAAAAATCCAATAGTCATTCAATAAAACTTACAACTGTTTGTGCGCCAAATGCCATGTATTGAGGTGCAGCTATGATCATCAAGTATATCCAAGCTGGAACTGACACAATTGCAGCACTTGTAAATAACACTAGTGCTTGGGGTAGTGTAGATCCAGGAGCCAAAGAATACAAAGAAAACCCAACCACCCCAACACCGTATTGTTTCATCATATAAAAAATGCATCCAATCATATAGTATGCCAGTACCAGTACTAGGACTACATCAATTGAAAACATCTACATGGCAGAGGGAGTGGATGCCATGCACGGTTTAGTTTGGTATCATAACAGATCATGGTTAGTTGTAGCTATACATTACTATTTCTACTGGTTTCAAATAGTAGATTGAATTTTATGGTTGAGCTCACGTTTAATCCAGCATAGAGCATCGCGTCCAAAATAGTAACTGTTCCAAATGTAGTGACAAGAAAACTACATTGTGCACCACATGATCTCAGTGCATGATCAATTAGTGTCGCCATGATGGAAATAACAAACACGATTGCCATGGCAAGCAGCAAAACCCCGCCAACAGCCTATCATATTGCAAATTATAGACATAGTAAGCCAAAACCATCCAGCCAAAACAAAATTAAAAATGTCGCAACTTGCCTCGGCAGATTGTTGAATAGTTTTCAAAGAATCATTGTCTGTGTCAACAGCCGGGATTCTCGTGGTTAGTCTGTTTTCTAAATATCGCTGTTCACTTTGAAGTGATTGCAGTTTACGACGATCCTGAGCCTTCATTCTTCGTTCAGCATTGGATCCAGGATATTTTTGATGTAGTGCGTCAATACATGAACGAACATTGTTCAGACTTCCAATCACATCAATATCGTCCAATTCTTTACGCTTTTCTATTTCATATCAATGTTATCGAGTGTGGTGATACAAATAGCATTTAGTGCATGAGTAGTATGAAAAAATCAAATGCATTCACAATAGATTCAATTAAACATCCATCGTCACAACTTACGATGAATCAAGAATAATCCCGCATGGCTTAGTCCATATGCCTGATGATGATATGCGGGTAAATGAATTTAAAAGGCTGTTTTCCAAATATACGTCAACTAGTTTCAATTGTTACTTGGTTAAAACGCTTACCACATGGGTTACCATAACAATCAGTCCAACAAATGATATGATTCCAATAATAAAGGAAATCCCAGTTTCATACCCTATAATATAGTTTAAACATCAGAGTATAAGATACAAAATGACAAGATCCAATAGTCATCCCCAATTATTCAAGATTTGGTTCAAATACCATTTTGAACCAGTAGGCTATTGAACCAAGGCGTGTTTGTAGGAAGAATTGGCGGAAGTCGCATATATGCACCGATAAGCATCAGCACTACAAGAATACCAGCTGGTACGGCGGACAATGCAAAAGCTTTATGGAGAGGCTAAATATGACATGCATTTCAATGTGAGCTGCTTGTAAATAATAAATGCATGACTCGACTTTCATCTAGTCTGTTTTTTCAAACACTTCAAGATTAGATTGCTAAATACCGTGGAATACAAATCGTCCAGATTATTCTTGTCGTCCGAATAAAAATACATGAATGGCAGAACCCCAAAGCAAATCAAGGCAAGCATTCCAAATAGTATGTAGTATAGAATTTTTATAGTGGAAGTAATTTCCAAAACTGCAATAGACGTTGCCCATGCATGTTTTGCGCCAATAGCAATATTGGAGGTACTTGACACAAGATAGATATCGATTGGTACAAGTGCGACAATTGATAGCGCGATTCCTAGTGGAGGTGATTAATGAGATTGACAAAGCTGAAAGTCTTGGATAAACGCAATAACTTTGTTAGACTTACCGAGTGCTATTCCAACAGTATTTGTCACTGATCCAATGTGAATGGAACGGTAGATTATCAAACAGTTTAATTGCTGGAAGTTGGCAGTTCATCAATACACTGCATTGGAAATTGTAAAGCATGATATACCTGCTCCATCATATTCTCGTTTATGCTGAAGCCAATTTATCATTCCTGAAGCTGCTCCAAAACCACCCTACAATATCAAGTATGAATTAATGTAAACCGAGCTGTGTTATCCTTGCAATATCAGTTTATAATAGTTATACTATTGAATAACCCAGTCGAGTATTACATTATTGTTTCTTACCATTGTTAAAAATGCATATAACGCCCATGGCTCCCAAGTTGCTCGCATATTGACAATCAATATAGATAAAGACGGGAAAGCAAGTAGAGTTGGCCAAGTTGAACGCGCCAAAGTTACTTGTACTCGACTGAATAGGCTTACATGCGTTTTGATGGGTTGGATATAAGCATATTTAGCACTTTTGAATCGATTGAGCTTTTCAGCATATGATTTTGACATTGTACCTGTCAAATGCGACACTTGGTATCAAACAATCCTAAATTTCCTCAACATCATGCACAATTATAGCAGTGTCAAGTATTACCACTGCATTCACATAGAATAACACATTCATTCATGTGTATTGAACTCGTTAGAATCTTATTTTGTGAATACACCTATGAATTGAGTCGATACCAACTTATGCATCGCCATGTGAGTAAAGTTGGTTTATATCTGAGCCATTCAATCCCAAAAGATTGGATTTCGATGTTTTTTAAACAACTTTATTTAAGCCGACGAGTTTCTTGATTCAACATCAGCAGTACTAATTGGGTGAAATAGAATGTCAGAAAACACCAGATGCAGCAATGTACAGGTGGAAGGAGAAGTCGATCTTGGCACTAGTAATATATTTCAACCCCATGTTCGAATCATCCAAGAGCAAAACGCTGGTCCGATTGTTATAGGCACCAACAACATATTTGAAGAGTGTGTTACTATTATCAACAAGTATGTTGGTAAGATGTCATTTATATATCATTTCAATAAAATCTAACGGCTATTTGTGTTCATGTAATAGGAGTCCTGGTTTAATGAAAATAGGCAACAATAATCTGTTTAATACTGGGTGTTGTAAGTGGGTGCAGTCATTTACTCCATGTATACTGGTTGGTAGATAGTCTTGCATTGTTACCAACAATTGCTTAATGTTTTTACAACTAGGTGTATATGCTGGATTGATTGGGGATTATTGCACCATTAGTCCGAGAGGTGATTTATCAAGTGTACAGCTGACTGGATATGCATAGGATGTATATTAATTAGTGGATATTGATTTATAGCGATTGTTGGTCAAGGATCTTGCATTGAAGATAATTGTATTATTGGATCAAAATGCGAGATTCCCCCAAACCAGCATATCAGCAAAGGAACATTGATATACGGAAGAAACAACTCTTTCCGCAAGATTGCATCAACGGTTGGATTTGTCGCCCCTTTGCATTCCAAACACATAGATTATCTTGTTCAAGTTTTACCAAAGTATCATCCGACTCGTAAATAACACATTTATTGCAGTATAAAGCATGGTTATGTTTATATTCACAATGGGATCGGTGTTTTTTGATAAAAAATGTATCAGTAGTTGTGAGCAGAAATACAATGCGACTATTGGTCGATTCTAGGAAACAGTGGTGGCTGCTTGGAAAGAAGCGTGGGTGGTTTTTTAAAGGTGTTTTTTAAATGGTAATATCGCTTCCCTGGGTACGCATTGAAAAAAGTTCTTTCTGTACAATCAACATCTAGAGTATCTAGCAAATTGGTCATTTTTGTTGGCATGACAGGCTGTAGTAAAAGAGCGCAGATTCGCAATCCTTCATATGCGACAAATAAAACAGATTGCAGTTTGGGATTAGGTTTAGAATCTGATCTCGCTGCATTTGCCATCTTCCACGGCTCTGCATCGGTCCAATACTTGTTTAGATCTGCAATCATTTCCTGAATATGCTGTAGCGCATCTGCCACATTGCCTTGAATCATACACTGATCGACTTGATCTAAGTATAATATGATTGACGCAAGTGGAATGGGTGTATTTCTCAGTGAAAAGTTCAAAAAGTCGTGCAAATCAATCACAGATCTGGATCAAATGTCAAGCATGATACAAGTCAAGATATACCTGCCAAAGTGCTCAATTGCTCCATTTTTTTCACTCCAGTATCATCGAGAGGCTCGTCAGTAGCTAAAGGAATCTCACCACTCTGATTGATTCGCGGTGTGCTCACTCGCATGACTAAATTTCCTAGTTGATCTCCAAGATCGTTTTTATATCTTGAAAAAATCAACTTGTCTGAAAACTCTGGGTCATTGTTAATTACTCCATCACGCATAAGAAAGTATCGAACAGGATCAACACCCCATTTTTCAATTAGAGCGTTGGGTTCAACAACATTTCCAACACTTTTTGACATTTTCTGATGATTCATAAGCCAATGTCCATGCGATATAATCTTTTGAGGAAGGGGCAATCCGGCAGCCATGAGAAATGCAGGCCAGTAAATTGCATGAAACCTATAAACCAAATATTTACCAAAAATCGGACAGTGATGGATTGAAGAGTTGAAATAAATTTGTTAGACCTTTGGTATAGTGTAAATACAGATACACATCAAACTATGTATTTTAACCTACTTGATGATATCTTTGCCCACCACATGGATGTGAGCCGGCCAGCCATTTTGTGCTGCAATTTCAGACATTTGAACGTCCTTTGAAGGTGTCCAAGGATATTTTGCAACTGTTAGGTAGTTTACCAAAGCATCAAGCCAAACATAAATCACATGAGTGTCATCGTTTGGAACAGGAATTCCCCAAGAGATACGCGATCTTAATCTAGAAACAGAAAGGTCAGTCTGCTCCCCTTTTTTCAGCTGGCTTAAAACAAAATTGTACTGGCTTTCTGGAACAATCACTATGAGATTGAATATAAAATAGGTGTCGGATCATGAAGGCAAGAGATTATAAAATTTTAAACATTTCTATTTATCAACAAGAAAATTGCACTTTTACACATTACCAAGCTTACCTTTTGGGTTGGCTTTGAGCCATTCAATTGTTTTGTCTCTGAATGCACTCAATTTGAATTTGTAGTTTTCTTCTTTTGTCCATTCAACCACTTTTCCAGATTCTTTGGAAATCTGCACATAGGTCATTAAATATATATTAAATTTGACTGAATTATACAGGAGTATCAATTGGGATAAGACGGTAACGTTGGTGTTTGAATCAAAAACATGACATACCATTATACTAGGATCGGCTGCAGAAGCTTCTATTTGACTCTCGGGATAAAATGTTTCATCTGATACGCAATACCATCCTTCATGGTAGCCCTTGTATAGAAAACCACCACGTTCTAAACATTCCTGAAAACAATTGTTTTTAATATAAATAAATGTTTCTAGGCTTTTCAAAGTCTGAAATTCAATCTATAATAGTCTTACCCAAAGAGCTTTGACGGCTTCATAATGGTCAGAATCTGTCGTGCGAATGAATCGTGTATAGGAGATGTCTGATTTTTTAAACAAACTCTAAAATACACTGCATCGTCAGCAATTAAATACATCAAATTGATTGATGGTTTTGCAGACAATACCTTGAATGTTTTGGAAATATCATTGCAAAATTCTTTTGGATCTGATTTTGCTGCCTCTGCCGCTTGTTGAATCTAGATGAGTATAGTGTTGATTGAATGCAGTGGTTATTACACACATTTACAACTGTATTCACATAAATGAAATATTAAATAAGAACTAAACAAATGTTTAGCGTAGGAATTACACCACAACTCCAGTAAATCCTTTACTTGTTCAACCTTGAACTCTCCTACAAAACAAGTGTTATGCATTGCAATGAATAAATCTGACAATCGTACAATGAGTATCATCTCAGTTTACAACTATAGTTTACAAGCACCACACAATGGTCATTGTGTTTGAAAGAATTGAAAGTGTATTCAAGTCAATCTGTAGTAGATTGGCAACGAATATTTAACCATTATATATTCTGGAGAAATGACTGCAAGATGTATACAGGTGTTGTATTTTACGTGAATATAGCAGTAAATAGGTTTACGATTCATCATAAAATGAAATTTTATACCTTTAATCCATGTTCATCAGTACCAGTGCTATACATTGTTTTTTGGCCTTTAAATTCAAACCAGCGCTTTAATGAATCTGCCAAAATTGCAGAGTATAGATGGCCAATATGAGGAACTGGCGATTAATACATTCAAAAATTAGTAAATTATCTAACAAGCCACTTTGGCTTTTAGATTATGACACAAGCTCCAGTTTGAAATGGTAAAGAATTAGATCTTTACAAGTGCTTTAAAAGCTACAAGCCCACCTGCATTGACATAAAATATTGGTGATGTTATATATACGGGATGATCTGGATTTGTAGAAACGAATGAGCATAGTCTAGTTGACATGAAATTTCTTTGTATCATGTTTGGTAGAATGGGTTTGCTTATAGTGATCGATGCCACATTTGACCATTGCATGTTTCGAGGTCTGGCAGTCGAGTGCAACATATATAAAATATTGGCAGACTTTTGAGATGGATTTTTAGAAATGCATCTGCTATGAGCAGCAGACATTTTTGAAGAATACATCCGACTGATCATTGCTTTAATTTTATGAATTGTCAGATATGGACAAAGTTATTCAGGACTGTTTTTGGGACAGTCGTGAATTCAGTCCACACCCCAAAATAAAGCGACTGCGATCTATATTTTGGAGAATGCGTAAAGTGTTTGACAACTCGATGCAAGCACAATGCAATCCAAACTCAATACAAAAGTACAGTATTATCAATACGCAACAATCCTGCGAACACAATACTTGGCAGATTAACTTGCAGTTAAACGTTCAATTCAATCGCGAAATTTCTTGTCCAACTTGAATCAAGTGTTGGAAAACATTGCAAGACTGCTTAGCTATTAGTAGTTATGGATATATGCAAGCATCTTGTTTCGCTTATTGCCAGAGCGTACTATGAAACTCGTCATGTCATTGTTCTTGATTTGCTGACTCTAAATGCATAGTTATGTAGTATTGAACTACTTGATGGAGTTGCATCAATGAGCTCATAGGCATTTATCCTAAAGCTTACTCTGATCTTTTTCACGCATAGTCCAGCTTCACTGACCCAGCGTTATACATTTGATTATCTTGTGAATAGTTTAAGAGATGATCAGCTTGCATCTGCACTCGGTGTTAATCACAAGGACCTCCAAAAAATTTGTGGTATTCTCCGAGTTCAAGGCATGCTTAAAGTGTAAGTGTCTTTGAGTGGATCCATTCGTTTCCTTTACTAAAAATAGGTTGTGCTCTGGCTTGGTTTAATTCATAACTAGAGAAACACGATGGGAGGAGGTGCAGCTTAAAGAGCGGTCTGATGCTCAGCCACATACTAAAGCATTCAAGGACAAGCTAAAAAGATCCAAATCATATTACTATATAGATTATCGGCAGTTTGTCAATGTGGTCAAGTACAAGATTTACAAGATTGGAAAAATGATTGAAAAAGAAGTCGAAGCAGTTGAGTTTTTTTGATTTTGACACATTCCATCTACAATTGGGCTACTTGTTCAAAATTAAATAAGAATGTATAAAAAATGTGTGGTGCTAACATATAGTACAATGTTATCATACACATGTTTCAAACCTTTGATAGGAAATCACCCAGATGCCGTATAAATGTCCGTTGTGTATTAAGGAGTTTTCAGCATTGGATATGCTATCCTTGGTAAGATTTGGATATTGAATATTTGATCCAAGTGTTGTAAACTCATTTTAATTTGCTAATAATTCAATAGGAAAGGACACCAGACAGTTTGCCTTTATGTGACGTGTGTGGATCTGAAGTCCAGCTTGACGAAACTACTGGATCAAAAAATTCCAGTGCTGCTTACACTAGGTTCATAAAAGTGCTTGAATAACGACTTTTGTGGATAGGACTGATTGCAATAAGGGGCAAAAGCTTTGTACTAATCATAAGCTTTACATTTCAGATTCATGAATGAAAGTCGACCTATTGTCGAGCTGCTCAAACAAACGGACAATATTATTATTCCAGAGTAATATCAGCATTTTATTTGATGTATTGATGCCAAGTAGCAGAACTAACTTTTGGGTTTGCTATATTGATTAACTAGCTCCAAGCCCGTGCTTCCAGAACCAGGTGCTGTGGCTCAGGTAAAGGAACTAAATGAACCCAAGATTAAAGAAATATCAGGAAATAGCGGTCCACAAATCGTAGTGGAGCTTGAAGATAACGCAGAAGATACGCTTGGTGCAACCGAGACTATTAACAATACTGAAGATGGAGATGATGAATCAAATGGTAGAGTATTGCTACTTGATGTTTACAGTTTTTAGATGGTGGCATCATGCTTGAATCTACCTTGGAATATCATCAGATTTACAGACTGACACGATATTATATTTACAGATCTTGCCATCTATTATTCAAATCTGGCAAAATTGACAAATGAATCAGCCGTTGGATTACATGGCGGGTTAGATTCACCCGATGATGAAGACGAAGAGTTTGAAACAGTCTTACCAGCTATGACTGCGAACTCCGCTGTGCTTTCTCAGTAAGTCATATATTGTCTGCACCAGTAGTTAATGTTCAAATACTGTAATCAAGTTTGACCATTTACTGATTCAAATGATTTTAGAAAACGATCTGCACCATCAGATGATGAAGAGGATGAGGATGAGGATTTTACTGAGGTGTAGTTACTACAGAACTTGAACATAGTGCTTTTTTGGTAGCAGTTAAAATCCCATTGAAGGAAATAAACAGTTTTTGATATCTATAACAGTTTCATCTAGCCTGCTAGTAAGAAATGGCACGAGTTTATATATTTTGATTCATTGACAAAATCGGTATATTTTGCATGCCTTGCCTGACATCAGATTTGGGCGGTAGAGCGACGATCACGTTCAAGTCCAACAATATAAAGTCGAGTTTATCTTTCTTGCCATTTAACATTTCCGAGAACCATCTAATCGTTACTGGAAGAGTTGGCTGTTGCCATTCATAGCTAATTGTCTAAACAACTCTCTCGCACTGTTAAGGAATCTACAATCCTTACATCTGAACCACTTGCTGGATATGAATAACCTTGCCAAGAGTATATCTGCGCTGCAGTTTAGCGGGCCTGCTGCACAGACCAGTTGCAGTCCTTCAAGGCTCGCATTGAATTCGTCTTTAAATATCGATTCTTCTGGACCGCCTGGCACTTATCCACCCATGACTGTTATCTCGCTTAGTCGCTTGCAAGTTACTATTGAGCGTTTCTTGGCTGAAGGTATTGCTTTAATCTATAACGTCGTCCATCATTTTTATTCTTTCTCTATTGAATAAGAGTTGTTATGAATACACAGCTACATATATCTATCATCTAATACATTCGTTCAATATTCCAGGCGGGTTTGCTCATGTATATCTGGCAATTCTCGCTGGAGATTCGCAGCGTGTAGTTTTGAAGCGTATTGCATGCTCAGACAAAGCTTCACTTGAAGAGCTACGCCAAGAAGTAGAAATCCATGTGAGTTTGTCAAAGATAAATCAACCAGTTTATAAACTACTGTAGATTCTTGCTCTATTGGTCTGATGTTAATGCAAGTGCATGGATGTCAATATCCACCACCAGATCCTAGTGCCTGCTTTCAGCAATGAAGCATCTGACTTTCCTACAGCCATTGGATTTACATGTTGAATTGACTCGATAGTTTATTGTTATAACAGAAACAAGTCTCGGGACACAAAAATATTGTGCGGTTTTTGGACTCGTCAATTGCGTCATTGCAAGCTGGTGGATACGAAGTTTTGATTTTAATGGAGTACTGTGAAGGTGTGATTTGCTACAAGCTTCGAGTTGATCTGTCTTGATATTTTATTCTTGTGCATTGTCTTATATTTTAAATATTAATGTAGGTGGTCATTTAGTCGACTTTCTCAATACTCGTTTAGACACTCGTTTGACTGAAGATGAAGTTTTGAGAATATTTTCCGATGTTTGCGAGGCTGTTGCTCACATGCACAGTCTACAACCTTGTATTGCACATCGTGACATTAAAATTGAAAATGTATTGATTGCTGGAAATGGGTCATGTAAACTATGCGATTTTGGGTCGTGCACTACTCGAGTTGTGCCTCCAAATGCAATCTTGAATACCCAAGATATCTGGAAACTGGAAGAAGAGATTAGAAAGTTTACTACGCTACCATATCGCTCTCCAGAAATGTGTGATTTATACCAGAAACGCGGGCTTTCAGAACAAGTAGATGCATGGGTATGCAGCTATTTTGTTGTATTTCATTTAGTGGCTTGTGGGTATATCATTGCTATAACTTAACCACCTGAATTGTTTTTGATGTATTCTAGGCAATGGGAGTGTTGCTGTATAAACTTTGTTTTTTTGTAAGTTTTGTACAGATATTTTTTACCCGACTAGTATTTTGAATACTAAACATGGCAAACTTTTCTAGACAACTCCGTTTGAGGAAGGAGGCATGCTGGCAATTCTGAATGTGCGTTACACATTTCCATCATTTCCACAGTATTCTCCAAAACTCATATCTTTAATTCAATCGCTTTTGGAAATTGATGTTGCCAAGCGGTTTGATATATTTCAAGCATATTCTGTGGTTTGCGAAATGCGTCATACGCCATACAATTTACCCAAGGTACATATTCACACTAAATCTGATCAAGTTGTTTATACACTATGGCTAATTTCAAATGGTTGATTATGGCATATTTGGGAACTTATAGCGATCAATACCATCGAAGCAGCCAGGTGAAACCTCGAGTTCCATGCTTAAATCGACACCTCGCGTAACAGAGACTGTTCAAAACTCTGCAGCCAATGGCTTTGGGCCATCACCAACTTATGTCAATGGTGTTTCTGTTTCTGGTATTACGCCGATGCGAAGAGGTCGACCTAAATCTAATGCAACTGATTTGTCTACAGACAACTTTTTTATGTCGCAATCATTGGTCAATATATTCCCCTTGCCCGATGTAGGAACCCCGGCAGCTACTTCTGTAATGAGTCAATCTCTGGCTGAATCACCATTTGTTGATCTGGCAAAGTTTGAACAAACTATGGATCAGCACAAGGAGTTTTCCTCTTTACAGTCAATCAATCAGGCATCTCAAACTTCCAAGCCTTGTTTATCTCTGTCGCAGCCCTTTGTGCCAGATTCTATTTGGACTTCATCTTCAAATATAACGAGTAGACCCATTTCTACTTTACCCCAATCAGCATCAGTAATTTCAGACTACACTCGTGTTCGTGGTCATACATCAAGTGGAGTTCCTTCAGATTTATCATGCTCTTTGCCGTTTTCTCCTGGACGAACATTTCAACCTCCACCGTTGCCATTTGAAGCGCACCCGGAAGCACAAAATCCACAAATGCAGTCCTCCCAACCCAAATCTGTTTTGCATTCACAACATGAACCACCAAAACAACAATCGTTTTGGGAAAAACATTCACCATTGCTTACCAATCCATCTTTTCCCGAATCTCCACCTGGTCGTCGTACAGTTCAAAGCCACAGTCGGCCCTTTTCGTGGGGAGGACCTATGTCAGGACCTCCACCATTGCAGCGACATCCAAACGATCCTTTTTTTGCTTCTATACCGCCACGTCCACCTGGAACTATTGATAAAGGGTCACCCAATACAGGTTATATAACAGTTCCGCGACCCAATTCTACTGGAGAATGGTCATTGCCTGCTACACCCAATGGAACACCTTTTAATACACAGCAGTCCTATCCACATACTGCAAATGCTATAATCAATAACCAGCAAATGGCTGCTTTGCCTGATCAATCCATGTTTACTCTTTCTACTCAAATGCCTATACAGACCACCACTTCTCTTGTGATGCCTATGCAATTGCCCATGTTATCATCACCTCAAATGCCCTACGGTGCATTTTCTGCTTCAGTGTTACCTGCTAGTACTCTAGCTACCGATCTGTACACCAAACCCCATCCAAACCAGCAAACACAACCACCTGCGAAGCCGCCTCGAAAAAATCGTCTTAGTATTCAGGCAACAACCTCGATGGGACTTTCAGATATTCAATCTGGATTATCCGAGTCTAATCCGAGTCAATCGTGGCAAACCAACTTTTCGAGTCAGTCTGATTCTAAAGCCAGTTCTATGGGTCGCTCAATACCATCTACTAGTCCATCACACATGGATGTATTTGGAAGGTCGATTGATATGCCTTTACTTTCTGCTACTTCAGCATGGCAGCCACTTGTACCTACTCCAGCCACATCGGATCCACCTCAAACAAGTGTTTCTCATTACCAATAAAGTTTTTTGTTGAGCATTTTGCTTTAGGATTAGAAGAATTTGTCTGAAATGATTGCA